CTGGAATCTTGAAGGATGTCCTGAGGGACTTGTCCAACAAGAAAACAGAAGTTGTCTTGAGCAGAAAGACAGCAATTTTTCTGAGCTGCGCCATCGCTTGAGAACGCCTGCTTTCATGGTTTCCGCACATGTTAGCTGATCGTGTGTAGTTATCCTGCCAGCTCCCTGCATATAGCTGGCCAACCATCACACCCGCTTTTTCGGTCAAGAAGCACCTTCGGGTTGAGAACGTTGACCTGCTGTAATCTGGTTGAACTCTCGATGTAGGTATTTGCGAGCACAACACTGTCCCGGGCAAAGAGCTCTGACTGTTCGTCGGCGGAGATGGGTAGCAGCTGCGAAGACGTGTCCTTCGGCAGACGACGAGTTTACTTCTTGCTGTAGCTTCTCTTCTGGATCACAAGCTAAAGGCGTACACAAGTTGTTATGATGCCCTGACGAGATTGGGAGCACTTGAGTTCGTTGAAGCATCTTCAGCCAACTTTTTCTGCCTCGAAATTGACCAAAGCTCTGGGCAATGTTTCGTACTTTGCCGTTCGCTCGAGCTTTTCGTTTGAACCGACGGTTTCTAGTATCATGAAGAGGATACTCGACAATATCCGTCGACGATGTGTTGCAATTATTGTTTGGAAAGACAATATGCGTATAAACATGAGTCTTCCTGCATGAGTTCTAATATAAGCTTGGTTTCCGAGCCTCCTATCCGGGCAGATGCGATGCAGACTGATGTCGAAAGAGGCGAGCTAGTCTATTAACGAGGCGCCAGCCATGGGACCGCCCTTGACCAGTGCTTGACATGGTTCGAAAATGCGAATCTTGATTCTAGATCTGGCAGGCCAGCTTCATGAATGTACTAAATCGAGGAAACAAGGCTAGCTATCATTACAAAGGACGCGATGCTGCGAGCTTCTTTGAGAATTGCATGGCGGCTGAAGTATCTTGTACGCTTACAAGGTGCGCCGAAGGTTTCTGGATTTGCCTTTGAGTGACGTTCTAGTTAGACGGTTGCTGACTCCATGAGAAGCCATCTGCACGTTGTGATATTGATCGAACGAAATCTGCTTCATTTGGTAATTGGAACGGCGTCTGGACCTTGAAAGTACGGTAGTTAGCGCAGAGGCATGAATGACGCCACGTGTACGGTGGTCGGAGGATGGAAGTGAAACATCAAAACCGTCGATTTTCCAGGTTGTAATAAAGTTCACACCTGGAAAATCGACGGTACAGTATGCTTGGTCGCACACTGCCTTGCATATGATCGACGGTTCTTGTAGTCCGATCGACACACTCAGATTTTAGAATCTCCGAGCTTTGCGGGGAGTCCAAGCACAGAGTCTTCCAGAAAGCAGACCCACTGTCACTCACATCACTTCCAACACCTTCCGGTTTTGCCTTCTCGACCTCCTACCTTAACCTGTACGTTGATTACGGTATTTTATGGCGCTGTAACCTTGTGTTAATTTAAAACACCTTCGTTGAACGGAAGCCCGGGCGTAAATGCCCCGGGTGCTGGGGAAGGTTACCGGCTATAGCGGGATCCATAAAGTTATCCACAACTGAGAGCTGGAGATTTTGGTGGCTGAGGATGCTGCCAAGTCATCACGACGCGAATCCTGTGCCCTACGTTTTCTTGGCTCAGCAAGACAGACAAGATCGACGGTCGTACGGTCGTCTTTCTCAATCCAGATTCCAATCTGCACAACTTCCTTCTCCAGACTTCAAGAATCAAGCTGCGCTGTGCATTTGTGGGTTGCCTTTCGTTATAGGAGGAGAGCTAAGAGGTGGATTGTTGAGAACGACGTTCATTTGAAGAAGGCAGAGACGCAGGCTGTACGAATAACGAACGAAGGCATACAGCCCTTGTTCGAGGTATCGGTTTTCAGGAACCATGGCCTCCGCTTCAACATGCCTGAGGACGACAGCCCTGTCTCAGGTAGGCCACATCTCCGCTTCAAGGCCATCCAAGTCGGCGCTGAGTGCTGCTTTATGTTGGACGAGTGCTGCTTTCTGACAACAGTTAATAGCAAGATGCAATGCCTGTCAGCTTTGCAGCTTTGACCACTTCATTGCAGTTGGGAACATAGAAAATGAGGGTATGGATATAGAATGCCGCATTGTGTGACCAGCTCAAAAATACGGTTCCTTTCTTCCTTACTGTGCTCGAATTTGAAGTGCTTCTGGACTCCAATAGATTCTGGAAAAGCATTATTAGTTCTGTCAATTATTCCTACCCGTGTAAGAATACGGTGGGATTATGTAGCGAGAGAGAATCACCAACTCGCACACTTAGTGTTTAGAGTTCGTTGTTGCAAGATGAGCAGGCCTACACAGCAATCTTGAGACAGCATGCTAGCGCCCCTGGAAAGTGAAGATAATTGTATCCGAGAGGCACATTGTGTCTAAAATTTGTCATCTGAAAACTGTTTTAAAGCAATGGCATGCTGTAGCTCTTGGTGATACCATACTCCTAGTCTTCTTCGCATCCTGTTGGATATTGCAGATTAAGAATCACAGCAGAGAGCAACCATGGTAGCCTGCAAATTTAGAGAATGGGTCAGTGAAGTGAACACCTTTGGAACTCAGCAACGAAGCAGCCTCATGGCATTGCTTACCGTAGATCCCAGGCTAGGGACAGCATCTCTTGGCGTCCGTATAGAAGGATGTGCCTTCTTGGCTGCTCCGAAGAGCAAGTCTGACTATGTCTCTTCACTTGCAGGGCTTGGCTGCTGGTATGGGTGCTGAGAGGGAATGCACTGTGCAGAGGTAAGGAACGTGTGTCCTGCATGGAGGGTACCTGAACTTTTTCTGTCAATCTGTTATGCCAAACTATTACCTTGACAGTAGTGCGCCTCTTTCCATCAAAGGCTGATGAAGGTCATCGTTGCCAGGAGGAACTTTCTGCAAGTGTGTCGAATGTGGTGCACATGCGGCAGCAAAAGATTGGAAGGAAAACTTCACACCAGGATCGCCTCATCTTGTCCTGCATTGGATCTGCAAAGACATTGTTCTTAGAGCATGTTCCACGCTGCTGTGCAGGTCTGCATTCTTTGGCTCCCGGTCAGCCACCAATAATGCTCTTCGGCAAAAGGTGTCTGAAGGGCGCGCTCGCGTGACCTGCGAATCACAGAGGCCCTCGAGGAGCAGGTGGGCCTCTCTCAAGGAAGAGCCCAAGACACAAAAGCCCAAGACGGACAGATGGGGGGGCCTCGGCACCGACCAGTCAGACGATCAGCAGGACATCACCAGGGGCCGCGGGATGGTTGACTCTGTTTTCCAGGGCGCGAGCGGCCTCGGCGGAACACAGAATGCCATCATGAGCAGCCATGACTATATCAGCACCGCGCAGAAAACGTAAGGGACAGTCCCTACAGATGTGCATGCTGTGGCCCGCCTGAGAGCAATGCTATGGTTTTTGCTTCCCGGTACTTGCGGATCCACTTCACCCTTCAAAACCATGATTTACAATCATTCTCCTCAATGCTCCATCTGCTCAAAATCTGATTAAGACGTTGAAGACGTTTAAGCTGCAAAACAGGGATATGTGTGTGTTGTCAGCGAAGCAAGTGTACGATGCTCCGCTGTGTTTAGAGAAGCCAACTGGAGAATGAACGCTTATTACATCATCGACATCACTCTGCCGTGCAGTTTGAGCAACATCAGCGCTGAGGGTTACTACATCTCCCCCACCTTCATGGACAAGCTGGTGATCCACATCACAAAGAACTTCCTCAAGCTCCCCAACATCAAGGTGAGCACTGCAGCTGCGCTGCAAGCTTCACGCTTTTAGCATGATCGTTAGCTTGTCATCCACATTCAAGGAGGGGAATGTACATCGCAGTGCGCCAAGCCTGAGCACCCCTTCCATAGTCGAAGTTAGGGTTTCTTTGCATGAATGAAAAACTGCCTGTGTTTTATGAAAGCATGCTGTCACAGTTTTTGCACCACTCACTCGTGCCAGTGTTGAAATTCATTGTGCTCTTCATAAGTGCAAGAGGCGCTCCATGAGTCCGGTTCTCAATTCCCAATTCTGCTGCTCTCCCTCGTGGCAGGTTCCTCTCATTCTCGGAGTGTGGGGTGGTAAGGGTCAGGGCAAGTCCTTCCAGGCTGAGCTGGTCTTCTCCATGTTGGGAATCAAGTAAGTGGATCAGCACAATTTCACGCTTGTGCTGAAGCAGTGATGCCTTGGTTGCATATTTCTGGCTAGAGACTGCCTTCATTTCTGACGTAATGTTGAAGCTGCTCTGAATGCATTTGAGGCAGAACGCTTCGCCAGCGAGTTCCTGATGCAGATTGTTTCACAGTTTGATGAGACTTGCACTTTCTGTAAGAAGAACTGCTCCGCTGATGTATCTGCTCTCAATGTAGAGGAGTTTCTGGTGGTAAAACTCTTAAGTTTTGAATTAGGCGGGCTCATGTTGCTGCTCCACCCTGTTTTGCAGCCCCATTGTCATGTCTGCTGGAGAGCTGGAGTCTGGAAATGCCGGAGAGCCCGCCAAGCTTATCAGGCAAAGGTACCGCGAGGCCTCTGACATCATCAAAAAGGGCAAGATGTGCGCCCTCTTCATCAACGATCTTGATGCGGGTAAGTTCTGTCCCGATTGTTTGAAGGACACTGAGGTTGCTGCATCTAAGCAAAGTGGCAAATGAGTCGGATCTTTCATTTCAAAGCCATTTCTGCATTCTCAAAACGTTCGAAAAGGTTGTCAACAGGCAGTCATACTTATTACAGCTATCGGCATTGCACTTATTCGTCTAAGCTTGAAACTCCGATCGAAGCGTTTGGATTCAGGCTGCTGTTGTCCGCCAGTAAGCCAGACTTTCCCAGCCCTTTCTTGTCCTCTTCCTTGTGGACATCTGAACAATGTGCCCTTCTAGTTCTGTTTCTATTGCAGCAGTGCAGCTCGCCCCTGCTACCAATTTGTGAACAGCAGGCGGCTCCATCGCAAATCAGTAACCCCAGAGGAATGCAGGAGACCTGACCCAACTTTTCAAATAGAGCTGACTGTTGTTTCTGAATTCAGGTGCGGGTCGCATGGGTGGCACCACCCAGTACACCGTCAACAACCAGATGGTGAACGCCACCCTCATGAACATTGCTGATAACCCCACCAACGTCCAGCTGCCGGGTGTCTACAACAAGGAGGAGAACCCCCGCGTGCCCGTCATTGTGACTGGTGAGTGGTGCAAAATCCACACCCTGGGATCGCTCTAGCTCGCCTACCACTGGGTCCCTCCTTTACCATTTGTGCTGCTTGGCTGCTTCATATCGTTTGGAGGGGTTGCAAGCTTAGCCACTCCTAATTTGGCAGCTTTTGCTCTGGCTTCTTACTTTGACAAGTTCGGATAGAGCATCCACTAAGCAATTCCTTAGGGACAAGGTATATTGCTTGAAGAGGGTTCTTGTTGTTTGTAACCAAGATGGGCTGGCATTCGCTGAACGACGCTCCAGTTCAGTTCCGCCGCCAGCACTGGTCAAAGATCACATTTTTCTGCCACATCAACTAATGCAGTAAGCCTTGCAGCCTTCTCTATCGGGTCATTCGATACACACCCGTGCTTTTACTCCTCCCAAAGAGGCTTTCCTCCAATGCCATTGTCTTTGCGCCTCATGCCGTACCTCCCCTTGCAGGTAACGATTTCTCCACCCTGTATGCCCCCCTCATCCGTGATGGCCGTATGGAGAAGTTCTACTGGGCCCCCACCCGTGAGGACCGGATCGGTGTGTGCACCGGTATCTTCAAGGAGGACAAGATCAACCTTGGCGACATCCAGACCCTGGTCGATGCCTTCCCTGGCCAGTCCATCGACTTCTTCGGCGCCCTGCGGTCTCGCGTTTACGACGACCTCGTCCGTGACTGGGTCAAGAACGTGAGCACTCGAGCTCTTTTCAACATCTCACTTGAGTGGCTCACAAGTGCCATACTTGTGTGCTAGTCATGGTTCCTGGTTGCTTGGGAGGATAAGCCGCTGAGGAAGAAAGTGGTGCAAAGTGCTGCTTGCCCGACCTCATCATTGTGCCTGACCTCGTGCAATTCTTTGCCAACAATATATACCAGCGCTTCTGCAAAACCGAAAATGCTGCTGTTCCTTCTTTCATCTCTGCTGGCTTCCGGCTCAAATCTGCACTCGCTGCTGTTCATTTATTCTCTCTTGTGGCTCAATTCTGCACTTGTTTTCATTTCATACGTGCCGGCCTCCCGCTCAAAATTGCCCTCGTTTCTGGCTCAACCGTGCTGGTTTCCCGCTCGTATTTGAACCTTCTCGGTACTGCTGAAGTAGTTCCGGCAGGGTGCGTCTCCAAGCAGGTGGTCAATTCAGCCTCAAGGGCCGAACAAAACTTCCCACCAGGACAAGTCGTTGCATCTGACCTCTGGACATTCTCCACTGCAGGTCGGCTACACGAACCTAGGAAAGTCGCTGGTCAACTCCAAGAACGGCCCGCCCACGTTCGAGCAGCCCCGGATGACCCTCGATATCCTGCTTGCGTACGGCAACAAGCTGGTCGAGGAGCAGGAGAACGTCAAGCGGGTGCAGTTCGCCGAGGAGTACCTCTCCGGCGCTGCCCTGGGTGATGCCAATGCCGACGCCATCGCATCTGGCAGCTTCTACGGTGCGCCTCCTTGATCTGGTTGATTTTGAAAGTTCTAGTCCTAATGGAGATTGCCCCACTGAAGTCAACAGGAGGGTCGCTTGTCGTTTGCTCGTAAGAAGTGCCGGCAGCGAAACCCGTTCCTGACGAGCACGTCATGTTCACGGTGCGCAACTCTGTGGTTCAGTGGGTGTAGACTTGGTTCAATTTGTAATCGCCCTGAAGATTGGGGGTAAAAGTGCTACTAGGCCGAAAAGCTGCCCTTTGTTGGTGGCGCTTTTATTCTTCTTAACTGCTCCAAGGCTTGTTTCAACAAGCCAGGTCTCAAACCAGTCTGTCATGCGTTCCGTTTCCTCATCAACGGGGGCCAAGCAATGAACCTACGAGGCTGGGGGCAGCGATGCAACCGGTATTAGCTCTAGCCCTTAAGTAGTTGGGGTTTTATTTAGGCTAACTTGGAATGAAAACGACGTTGAAGGATGCAGCCAGATCGAACTCTCTTCTAATGTTGGCGTCCGGGTTTTTGCAGCTGGAAAGGCAGCACAGCAGAACCCTCCTAAGGTGAAGGAGGGGTGCACGGACCCTATTAGCACGAACTTCGACCCCACAGCCAGGAGCGATGATGGCTCGTGTGAGTACGACTTTAACACCTGGCCCGCATAAGCCAGGTGATTCACTTGTTATCCCGTTGGTTTGGCGTCAGTTTCGGGAACGGTACTGGTGTTGTAACGTTAGGTAGGGGAGTCGGTAACTACCCTGGCTGCAGTGCTGTTTTGCAGAGATCCCTCATAGGTTTCATCAGCTTTCTGGCGCTTCAGGAAACTTACGAGATTCTTTCTCAAGAGACATTCTGATGAAGGATCGTGGTATGGTGTTTTGGTATGATACGGAGTTCCAAACCTTGACTTTGATGTCTCTGAAAGACTGGTTCTTTTGAAGAGAACCCTCATCCTCCAATGCGTGCATTCATGTACACATGGCCAAGGTTCTTGGTCAGGCTGATGTAAAACGTCTAGCTGTGGCAATGAAAGTTGCAAATCACCGCACATGTACCAGAACAACTTTAAAAGACAAAATTGGTGGTAAGTTTCCGATCGAACCCTCTTCTAATATCGCATTGGGGTTCTCTGCAGCTAAAAAGGCAGCGAAGCAGAATTCGACTTCAAAGCGCTCTGCAAAGGCAGTTCAGCCGAAGCCTGCTCCGGTGCCTGAGCAGAAGAAGGCTCCTGTGTCTGAGCCGGAGCCTGCTTCGTTCTTTGCGTCGGAGCCTGCTTCGTTCTTTGCATCGGAGCCTGCTCCGTCGTTCTTTGAGTCGGCGCCTGCTCCGGCTGCTTCGTTCTTTGAGGCGGCGCCTGCTCCGGCGGAGCCTCAGGGATGCACAGACCCTAAGGCCTCTAACTACGATCCCTTCGCCTCGAACGATGATGGCACTTGTGAGTACGACATGTCTACCTGGCCAGCATAAGCCAAAGCTTGAGTTGTTGTTGCGTTCGTTTGGTAACGATTCAAGTGTTTTAACATTACGGTAGGCAGGTTGGTGACTACCCTTGCTGCAATTCTGTTTTGAGGAATCTCTCCATTAGATTACCAGCTTTCCAGCGCTTCAGGACTACCCGATGATCATGAGAACTATTGTCAATAGACATTTCGAAGGATGAAGATCGTCGTATGGTATACGTACGGGTTGCCAATCGTGAATGTTAAGTGCACGCATACGTGTCATGACACTTCTTGAAGAAAACACTCATTGCTTGCATGCCTAATGGAAAGTATCGCGTGCTTTCATGTTAGTACATCTCGCCAATCCTGGCCGGCCAGGCTGGCACATGTGACACGTCTATTTATGCCACGGCATGCACGACTCGAAAATTGCAGATCACTGTCCCGGTCCATACGTGTTGCAATCGTAATGCTGATTTAAAGTTCATTCACTGGCTATGCAGCAGGTTTAGTGTTGACCTCGAGCGAGAGTCTCTCGCCAATTACTGCCGCGTCTGATCGAGTGACCTCTAGGGCCTGATGCTGCACTACATGTGCCGGTTGTATGGAAAATGAATGGTGGTGCTCGACTGGATCGGATACGGTTATAAACGAGTGGCCTCTCTGGATCACTGGCCCATGCCTTTGAATGATGGCACTTCCGACGCGATCAACCATGGTTTTGAGAATACCGGTACAACAACTCGGTCACAAGCACTGTAACATATAATCGAATGCAAGTCGAGTTCATGGACGTTAGTACGTCTATATACATGTACCTAATCAAAGTCATCAAGACCGAGTCCACTTCAAAGCGGCGGCCATGCAAATTTCAGATGTTTCGGTCACTGATAAGCACGCATGCCAAACAAGTGCGACGGGCCCAGCCACTGCGCATCCAAACGTAGTACTACTAGATAGACGGTAAGTACATGGCCGCGATTTAGAAGCACACTCACAATCCTGCGCATATCATGCATGTCATAAATACGCTCAAGAGTGGGAAGGCCCGGTCCCGTGCCGCGTATCCCGGCTTGGGGGCTAGTTTCACATGTGCACGTGTCTGCATAGGTACCACCTATGCAGTCATGATACTTAACCATAACCCGGTTAGCTTACTGAGGCCAATGCTCCGCAAAAGTTCAGAGGACACTTGAGTCACGGCGGACTTGATTGCAAGCCTTCACTTGACACTTTGTCGGGCAGCAGTTGACTCACGCACACATATGATGTCATCAGAAGCTTTGACCCGTTGACCCAACCGACCGGATCGGTCGATCTTTGTGGTCTTCAAAGCAGTAGGTCATCATTCAACTGCTGTGTCTTGATAGCCCCAGAAAGGAAGCTCCCCCTTGAAGATTGTTTCAATATTCTCCGCCAGCGCAAGCCGAAACAGATCCCGCGCTTGGAGGCGCCGGCCAAGCAGAGCCAGTCTACTGGACGGCGGCCCTTGCAGCTCTGCGGATAGCAGGTAGTCGTACAGCAGCTCCTGGAAACCAACGTCCGACAAATTTGATCACTTCCGTTATTGCTTTTTCGCTAAAAATGTATGGTCTGACTCGATCCTTCAGTTATTCCTTCGAAACAAGAAACGGCACACGTTTCCCTGGAGTGCCGGATTGTTCAGGCAGGATTGAAGGCACAGGTCGAGTAGACGGACTCGGAGTCTCCGATTACTATAAAAAAGAAAACCACTCAAGAATCGAAGCGTAGCTGGTAAGGTCCTCAAAAGGTGACCCGTGACATCTCAGCTGCACAGCCGTTGCCACAAGCGTGAAAAGCACTCAGGAGCAAAGGCCTCTCAAACTGTTGCACTGAATATCAAGACTCGCGGGTGGCGCCAGCAGAGCCGTTGCCGGCATGTGCGAAAGCTGGGCACTTGCGGAAAACGCCGGTCTCAGTGTATGCACAGATCAGCAACTCTCGTCGGATCGCACAGTAGCGTCCTGGCTTCCCAAAGCCCTAACTTGGCCCCTGTAAATCTCGTCCCCATCGCGGTGTAATCGTCGGCTGTGCAACGAAACCATCTCGAGAAACCAACCTGCACGTCCTCGGCGGTGCCTTCCTCTCGGAATCCGTGCTGGAACACGAGCTGCCAGTCGCACGCCTGGAAGTGCTGCGCGAGCGTTGCCAGCGGAAAGTCCGCGAGCCGCCGGAACGCGGCGCGGCGGACTTTCTCGTCGTTATCCCGGAGCTTTAGGAAGCAGAGGTAGAGCAACTCTGCACGCCGAGCTTTGAAGAGTTAGAGTTTTGCCAGAAATCCAAGGGTTTCGGGTCACGCAACAGCTTGATCTTGAGAGAAGCTTTTATCGGGATACGCGAGGGCGAGTTTAGCCTGTGGCCGTCCGGAAAACGGGAGTCAAACCAGGCAACACAAGGACGAAGTCCAAACGCGGACCCTCCTTTAAGACCGAGAGCTTTTTAGCGGAGAGGAATGTCTCGTTCTCAGAAGAACGCTTTCAAGGGGCGGCTGCCGAGGGTACTGGCATAACTGATATCAATTCTGCAGAGTTCTGAGGGACCTTTGAGAGCGGTCTCAGAACCTGCTCAACGTAAAACGGACCAATCTCAAAAGCGCCCCGTTGTCCCTTTCAAAGTGCCGGACAGAAGAGACTGGTCATAGCACATCCGTCCGCTGGGCAAAGGCTCAACGACTCCATAATCAAATCTCCGGATGGAATTTGTTATCGGAAGAGATTCACCTTGTTCTGCAACACAATCGCTGTCGGGTTGAAGCTTGGAGATCAGCTGGGCTGCGGACCGCCGCACTCGGACGCTCGGATCAAACAAGGCGCTCTGCATCAGGTTCTGGATCGCTGACTCGGACCAAGCGGGCTTCGCTTCGCCTTCCGCTGAGTCGCACCAGCGCGCGTGTACCCTCGAGAGGACTAGGGACAAGAAAGAGTAAGGGAAAAAATGTCACTTGCTCAAAGCTGAATTTAATGCTTAGGGACTTTGGGTGACACTTCAACCATTCTCCCTCATTTTTTGGGACCAAAGTATCGTAAAAAGCAGCAGCCGCGGTTGTGCGTGATGTTAGAAGGACGAGCAAATCGATTTTAGAAGGCTGGAAGTCGACTATTCATGCCGAGAAATCCCCTCGACCTTACGAAGTTTAGACTTTGGCGTAGACCCGATTCTCCTTCCATATCCAGGGAGGACAATCGCATAAGTGCGTTGCCAGCGTAAATGGCGCTGATCAGCAGGCTGCAACAAAAGCAGATCTCAAGAAGCGAGACGATGCAACGGGCAGTTCTGGACTTTCTCGATACTGCTACTCGCAATCGGACAGTACTCAAGTCCGCTCTCAGCTCTTCTAACAGCTTGCCAACCGAGAGGACGAGATAGCCAAGGACTCCGAACGAACATATTGCTAAGAAGACTGAAGAACTGCTTTGAAAGGGAGCATCAAAAGAGAAAGAGTATCTAGCGAATCCTTCAAAGGACTTGCAAAGAGGAACGAACCTGCGAGGCACTCCACTCGCATGTTGACGTTGTCTGCGCACTCCTCGACGAGCTTGGCCGCGCACGTCGAGATGATGATCGCAGCGTTTCGCCGATATGCTGCCCCGAAAATCTGAAATGCAAGGACCAAAGCTGCAAAGGACAAAGACAGAGAAGGCTGTCGCACGGTTGCCTTACACATTCTTTCGCCGGAGAGCAATCAAACTTGACAGAACATGCGATAGCCTGATGGATATTGGAAGGACTCAGGGTTTCAGCTACCTGAAAGCAGTAGAGCCCGATGCTGTCCGGATCTTTTCCGAAAACAAGAGATTCGACGCAAGGCTAGTGCTTTGCGAACACGATGTGTCTCTGGCGCTCCGCACCTCCTTTTGTCCGTTCTCCGCACTCGGGAAGAGCAATCAGGGAGTCCAGGAACTGGGGGGCTAGAGACGGTCGGGAAAAGAGCAGTAGCACTCGTTTCAACGCGGAATCATTTAGTGATTCCATCCCATGCTCCCGGCAGGTTAGAAACACTCGGCGGAGACAAGAAGAGAAGCAGGCCTTCCACTGCGGCTGCGATCGAAAAGCGTCGCACGGATCTGCCTTCGGTCAACATTGTGAATGATACTCGCCAGGTGCGTCAGGCAGATCTACCGGAGTCTGAGAACGACCGCGGCTGACTATGGCTGGACAAATCGACCGTATACCCTCATCTTTATTCGTTCTTGCGGGGGCAAGATGAACGAGTCGATGATCGTAGTGGCCACATAGTAAAATTGCTAGCAAGCAATGTGGAAATAGGTCTTCTGGAAGAAGGAGGAAGCCTTGGTTCGTACATGGTTGCCTTCTCGTGCTTCTTTCAGCAGCTGTAGCGCGTTCCGGTAGACTGGATCGACCAGCGGAACGGCGGAAGAGAAGTTGGGCAGCTGTAAGAGCTGGAAACGGAGGGGGGGTCAGGTTTCGAGGTCAGGACCCGTCCAAGCACCTGCTACGTTGAGAAAGGATCTAGATCGACAGCTTACTTCGCAGACCGCTGCGGCAGCGTCACCAGTGAAAGTTGTCTTTGCTTGATACGCCGAACACCGTCTTCGACTCAATACTGTAACTCTACTTCTCCAACTACATGAGAATAGCTTTTGCATAAGGACAGGGCTGCAAGAGTGATGCATCAGGATCCTCACCTCGAGGGTCGTTTGGAAGCAGCCAAGAACAAGCCCATCTGGGTCTATGCAATCTGCGGCACAGGTTGCGGGAAGTAAATTTGTGGAAACCGTGAGCAGAAGCTTCTTAGCAACTTCTTGATGTTCATAGCCGATGCCGATGAATACACACGGTCAACTTACGGATCTGGAACTAAGTGGGTACCCGGCAATGCATTCAATCAGTTGAAGGTAGCAAATAATTCTGGAAAGGAGCACTAGCATCTTAGCAGGGACGGCAGATAACAGACCTGAAACGGCCTCCAGCACGTAGTTATAATGCTCTGACGCAGGATCAGCGCCGAGGACAAGGCGAAGAAGAAAGACCAGTCGCACGGCAGCCTTGGTGTGAGCATCGTCTTTTGGCAAAGGAAACTTCCTGATCTGACGCTGCATGAGATCCAGCACTCCTGCCACGGAAGACAATCTCGGGTAAGCAGATACTATTGTTGAGATAAGGTGCAGAGGGCATTCGGAAGGCAGGAGAAGTCATCCAAAATTTGGTGGTCAAAGCGATTACAGGGGAGTCCTTGTGAGAAAGCTTTGATGTGATGATATAAGTTCGAGCCAAAGGTCAACGGACAGTCGTAGAGATCATGCTTTGAAAAGTGAGGCCTCAATAGCTTTTGAAGTTGTCTGCTCAACCTGGTAGAAAACGCCTCTGATGCAAGAGCTGCCGAACGGCGTGTTCCATGCTGGACCCTGGCTGCAGGACCGCTTCGACGCAGCTCTCCCAGAAGCTGCGAAATGGAAGGTCGGGACTGCAAAAGATACAGATGATGTGAGCCTAAGTGCCTGGGAGCAGAATGAAGTGTTGACTGTGCATCAGCTTCGCCGACTATAGACTGATTAGAAGAGCTGGCCAGTACAATCAGATACATATGCACGATGGTCGATGCAGAAATTCCAGCAAACGAGGTCCTTACCATTGTACGAGAAACATGAGGATTGTGTTCTGGAAGAGCTCAGTTGGCACAGCCCGATTTGGCGCCCTGTACATGCACCATGAGACCTGTGACTCAACACGTCAACTCATTGCTTTCTTCTTGAGTAGCATTTTCCAACTTCAAGAGTTTAGTGTTTCAGACCGGATAGAGTTGCGAATCTGGAATCCTGGAAGTGAAAGCTGCCAGTGCGAATGGAAGAGGTGCACATGAAAGAAAGATTTCTCGCCAGATGTGCAACAGCAGAAAATGAAACAAATATAGAAAGCATTTCAAATATGCTAGTTGTGCTTGCACACATACAGGGCCTCGGAATTGAATGCGTTCTATTTCCCCACACCGGGGAAGTTGTGAGGCCTACCTTTTCTGTGCATCTAGCAGATCAACGACTCTTTTCTGCACCTCACTCCAGATTTCGAGCAACAAACCATTGGACACGATGTGCGGCTTCAGCTCCTCTCCAAAGGAAAGCAGAAGCTCGAAAAGACAGCTTGGATCCTCCCTACTTGAAGCTTCAGCCTTCGCTTTATCAAAGTCCTGTGCAATGGTGGAATCAATTGCGGACGTCATGATGATAATCGACTGCAGATGATCTTCTCCCTCCGAGGTCGAGCTCAGAGAACCACGAGCGCCTCGATCAAACGGGCAATTCTCAGAGAACCCCACAAGACTCTAAACGTATTGCTAATGAATATTGTGCTAACCTGGAAACCTGGCACGAGGCGCGCCAGCGCTGTTCTTTTGATTAGCATGCCGTCATGAACACAGGTTTTGGGGAGGCAGCTGGCGCTTGTACCAACTTCCTTGGAAATTAAGAAGTCACGCATTCACTCACACAAATTGCATGCCTCCAGCTTGGACAATATCTATGGCTGCCTCATCTGCCAGCAAGAAAGGTGCTCTTCACTGATTGTCCTTCTCGACCGTCGATGACCGGATTTCGTAGATCGACAGGCTCTTGGCAAGCAAAGCCGATGCTCAGCGCATGCGATAGCCGTCGATGAAAAGAGCGACCGTCGGCGTAGGCAATCAGCTCAGTAGGTGAGGCTCCCGGCTAGCTGTAAGTCAGCGGCAGTACATAAAAACCCCGCACCTAGTTAGCAATTCAAGTCACTGCAGCTAGAAATGACTGCTGCAGCCAACTACTGTAGTCTGTAGACAATGTGCATTCGGAGCAAGAAGCCATCTGGGAGTGATCATGTCAAAGTGGTGTTGACGGCTTTCACGTTGACGGCTTTCACGGTAGAGAAGATAGGGGCACCACCAAAGACCACCAGAAGAATAAGTCAAGGCTCAGCTTCCTGCCTGTCCGGCCCCATTGTCTACGGCCTGAAGAGCCATGGATTCCGGTGAGTGCAGCATGAAGGTCAATCAAAGAATGATAAGTGTTGTATTTGACGGCTTTCATTTTGAGCTTTCACATGGAAGTTTCTAATACCCTTCACCGAGCTGCCTTTTGAAACGTTTCTCGTGCATGTAACGATGGCGGTGCCGCGATATGCGAGCGGTTCTAAAGTGCTGAATCAATTGTCCAGACTTTCTGAGCGTCTGTATATGTAGATTGCTCAGCATTCTGGTTGATTGCTTGCAACTGCTGTGAACAAGCACGAGTTCAATCTAGAAGGATGCCACTTGGGATCTAATCATCAAATACTCAGACACGGCCATGGCGTTTTGAATTACTCTGTATTGCATTGCTGTACGTCAAGCTCCTCTTGTCGTGTTCAATCCTTGGAAAAGCTTCAACAGCTCGATGAAAAAGCTTCTGGTTCCAAGAACCTGTCGTGATGCTTCGTAACCTCGGGTTCAGTCAGGGGGCAGAAGTGCATGCCTGAGTGGTGCCCCTCCAGTACTTTTGCTAATGGTGGTCCTTTTCAACAGACATGGAGGACTATGGCTTTGAGTATTCAGATGAGGAGCAAGAGGAGCAAGATGTTGATATTGAGAACCAGTACTACAACTCAAAAGGTGGGTGGCACTCTCATGGAGTATCGTGCATCGTTGGGACTGTTCCATCGACGCGTTTCCATGTGTACCCAACTGGTTTCACAAGCGCTCTTTGCAGATTGCCCTGAGCTGCATCCATATGTTTTCTGGCAATTAAGATGACTGTCTCTTCCTGATTAGAGCCTCAACCGGCCGCATCAGCAGATCAAAGGCCCTCTTATCAAAGGAGTTGCCTGCACAGGTCTGGTGGAGGGCGATCCCAAGGCTGCTCTAAGAGGTTTTGAAGAGGTGGTCAGAATGGAAGGCGAAAAGGGGGAGTGGTAAGCTTGGACTTGGTCACTATCCTACCATCAGTCTGCTTCAGGGGTCGCGGCACCAGAGATCTTATAGGATCATTCACAGGTGCATTGTTGCTGGACTTCCTGCTCACGCAAACATCTAACTTTCAGGCTTGTACTTATCTATTCTGAGACTCAATTCTGATTCATTTTGCAACCTGTTCAAGGGATGTATGGCATACCCCGGAGAAAGCGATTTGGGCTACCTACTGGGAGGTGCTCCAGCAAGACGCTTTGATTGCAGCACTCCTCAAAATGAAAGCCCACTCTTTGTGAAACGTGGTGGCTATGAAGCTTGCAAGCTGACAAAAGAGAAAGCAGTCCGGATGCTGCACCACTCCTTAATCCATGCCCTCTATTATTGCGTTCAGGGGCTTCAAGGCTCTTAAGCAGACTGTCAAGCTACACTACAAGCTCGGCAACCACAAGGAGATGATGGAGGCCTATCGAGAGATGCTCACGTACATCAAGTCTGCGGTGACCCGAAACTACAGCGAGAAGTGCATCAACAAGATCCTGGACTTTGTGTCGAGCAGCCAGAACCTGGAGCTGCTGCAAGAGTTCTATCAGACCACTCTGCAGGCGTTGGAGGAGGCCAAGAACGAGGTAACGAACATTCCCTGTGTCAACAGGTACTCATCGGCTTCCTTTCGGCAAGGCATGGCGATCCATGCAACAGCAGAGGTTGACGGCCCTGGTCAATTCAGAAGGGTTGCCTACTGCTGATCACCTCATTTTCCTGGTGGATTCGCAAAAAGAATCCTGCAGGCCACCTGTGGCCTCTTTCTTTGTTGTCTTTTGCATTACGTTGCGGCCCCCAATGTAGTGGGCCCCCTATGCTTGCAGGGTGCGCCTAGTTACTGACAGGTGGTGGGGCTGTATTCGGCTTGCTATTGACCACGAGTGCTCCGCTCTGCAGAGGTTGTGGTTCAAGACAAATTTGAAGCTATGTAAACTGTGGTTCGACCTTGGGGAATACACGCGAATGAACAAGGTAAGGATGCAAGCACACACCAACGTTCTTCGCTGGTTGTCTATAGTTCTTAGAACCGACTCTGTTGCAACCATGCTCGAAAAATGCTCTCCGTCGAAAGGAAGGGGCAGCTATCATTTCCTTCGCATCTTCGTCCAACGATTGTTAAGCAGCAGATCAATCGGCATAAGACTGCCAATGCGTGTGGTTGGCTGTTGGTCGAGGATCTATCGTCCTTGTTGGTAGACATGGAGCATATTGGTCAAACATCGGTCTTCCTGCAGATTCTGAAAGAGTTGCACAAGTCGTGTCAACGAGAAGACGGTACGGACGACCAGAAGAAGGGCACGCAGCTGCTCGAAGTGTATGCCATTGAGATTCAGATGTACACAGAGACGAAGAACAACAAGAAGTTGAAGGTGAGGCCGCTGTAGTCGTCAGGCGATTCTGCGTAATTTTTGTTATGTTTGCAAAGACAGAACATAATAAAGCTGAGCCACGGGTAGCAAGCAGTTGCCACGTCGAATGCGGGTCGTTTTCTTTCTGTGGCAGGGCTCTGTTTTCGATGTTGCTGGGTAGCCTCAAGCAGATTGGGGACCTGGTCCTCGGCGACCGTTGAATGATGGTCTCGCCTGTCCCATTCTGTTAGACACAAAGCCATTGTTCCTACTTCGCGAGATCCACAAGAACAGAAACAAAAATCCGGCTTGGTCAGCACTGAAGTTTTCTCTCTTTGACGACCTTGCTGCCTCATAAAAATGGTGCAGCTTGGATATGAGTTTGCTACAAGTTAAGGCTCCAGCGAGGCTTGTGTTCCGTGTCCTACATCTTGCTCGTCTTGTCCTTACAACTTCTGCTCCGCAGTCTTATTCTTTCGCCGTCGGCTTCGCCCTTCAAAAGATAACACCTAGACAGCGCTGTCCATCAATCCGCCTGCTGTCATCTCCTGCTTGTGGAATACGAGGCTACTCGACCCTCCTACAATGATTCCAGTCGCGTCCTTTTGACCTCGATCCCAACCCGTTCTTCCTGCCCGCAACTGTGCCAGAAAGCCCTATTCGTCAAAACGCGTGTTCTCAAGCTCTTCCAGACCATACTCTGTCCCCCTAAACAATGCCCTCTTGTTATCCTGACGCAATCGCAATCTCTGTCACCAACTACACAGAAAAGCGCTGTTCATCGAGTCGCCTCTTGTCGTTCTGCTTTTCGACCTCAACTTATGCCATTATTCCCACAAAAGTGTTTCTCTTTTCGACCACAACTTCTGCCATTATCCCCATAAAAGTGTTCGTGTTTCTCACTTCGCTCCCAACCCGCTATTCCTGCCAGCAACTGTACCAGAAAGCGCTGTCCATCAAGTCGGCCATCCCGCACCCGCGCATCATGGGCATCATCCGCGAGTGCGGCGGCAAGATGCACATGGCGGAGCGCCAGTGGGCCGAGGCCGCCACCGACTTCTTCGAGGCGTTCAAGAACTACGACGAGGCTGGGACACACCGCCGGATACAGTGCCTCAAGTGAGCGTCCCTTCGCACCGAGCTGCATTCGTTGTGCTGCGTTCTTGGGCTCTTTTTGCTCAGCACACACTTCCGTATCCCTGATTCCGTGTCTCTAAGCCCGGGAGACAGAAGAGGAGGACCGGTTATCAATCCTAGATCGGGCCCTTCGTAATATTATGGAGTTATGGGGCGTCCCTCATGCTTGGATGTCCGGGCTGCAGTCAAACGCCCGGATACAGAAGTCGCTTTTCGCTTTTCGATGCACTGTGCCCTAACAAACTGACGCGGGATTTCCTGGATCACAGAGACTCTTTCAGTGTCCAGCGCCGTAGTGCATTTGTTGACATAAAAAGTTCAGCCAAAGAAATGTCCAGCCATGGATGCGGCATCTAGTTGTTGACACTCGCAGTTGAGTCGTCCTTTTCGTGGACGCTCGAAACAAACGTGTTTCCTCCATGTCAGGTACCTGGTGCTTGCGAACATGCTAATGGAGTCGGAAGTGAATCCGTTTGATGCGCAAGAAGCGAAACCGTGAGTCTCATCCTGCTTCGCACGCACTCTCCGTTCCAGCTTTGCACAGCCCAGATCATCCTTTTTTGGAGCGACCGTCAACGAGTCAGCCTGGTGCGAGGAGTCTGGGAATACATCAACGCACTTTGCCGTGCCCATCGACAGCTTACTGTCGCGTGCTTCAGGACAAAGGTCTCATTCGGACTGCGATGTTTGCACTGAAACCTTATTCTGGATCTTCCGCCTTTTTATTGCGCTGTTTCAAAATTTTCGCAACCCATTTTCATAAGCAGCAGGGATTCTACGACTTTTTGTGCTTCCTTTCGTACGAAGGCCGTTTCCATTACCCGCTGCAGGTACAAGAACGACCCGGAAATCCTCGCCATGACCAATCTAGTTGCAGCATACCAACGAAACGACATCCTAGACTTCGAAAAGATACTGAAGGTGGGGCCGCTCGTCCTGGAAGCCCTTCATTTTGGCAGAAAGGTTGACGATGAGGCAGGCCAGATTCAAGGCAAAGAGAAAAGCACGACTTTCAGGCACGTTCTGTTGGTGTTCGGCATTGCGAGGCCCCAACTCGTGAGACGACTGAGCGTTGTAAATCTCCTCGCCAAGATAATGTTTCCTTTTGCCGCTCTCAGGCGCGGCCGAAAACGCATGCCCTGATTAAAACGTCATCTGGATCTTGCTGGACTGCACAACTCATTGCTATGCAAAATCTGGAGACCGCGAGATCCTAATTTCCGCCCCGGGAATTCTGCTGAGATTTTGCGCTGGGTATGCAGAACAACCGGAAGACCATCATGGACGACCCGTTCATTCGGAACTACATCGAAGACCTGCTCAAAAACATCCGCACGCAAGTCCTCCTCAAGCTCATCAAGCCCTACACGCGGATCAGGATCCCCTTCGTCTCCAAGGTGGGTTTGCTGCCTTGATCTCAGTTGGTTCGTTCGTTCGTTGCTGTTTTCGCGTGCCGGTTGGTCGAAACAAAGCAACAGAACCGTATCGACGGGAAACAGATGAGGCAAGGCAAGGCAAGGCGTCATTCCCATCGAGCGTGGGAAGGAGACGTCTGATCTTCGCTCGTAGCAGTCTGCGTGGTCACACCCTGCTTCGGGTTTTAAAGTCTGAATTGTCGAGGGTTCATTGCTGATAACTTAAGGCATGCTTTCTGCTCGCATTCAGCCTTCTTTCCTTTTTCACAATCTTCTGTGGATGCGTGCCCAAAGATCAGTCACCACCTACTTCATGTGTCGGTAACCAGGAACTCAGAAGCGGTGCAGGATTCGAGCTCCGGTGTCCCATCGCAAACCTACACTGTTCCTCTGGCAGCGGTCCTACTCCCTTTTAGGCATGCTTGACGATTCTCCTCCACACTGCATTTGGACAAGCATAAGTAGGCGTTCTACAGCGTCGTCGTAATAGCTCAAAGCCTGCATCAATTTTCGAGGTTGGGGTTTGCCCGGCTGGTTCGAAACAAACCAATGAAACGTGCCTTGGGCTGACGTCCCATAGTTTCCGCCCGTAACTAGAATGAAACCGCCAAACTTGCGCTGTTGGCCGTCCCCGTCGGCCCGTACATTGATTTTCATTCCAGGAACGGGAGTGGATCCTCACATTCAGTTAGGTGCCTGCAGGAGTTGAACATCCCCGAAGTGGACGTAGAGCAGCTGCTTGTGTCGCTCATATTGGACAACCGAGTACACGGCCACATCGACCAGGTCAACCAACTGCTCGAACTGGGGGATAGGTACGGCTTTCACCCTTCGACGAGAGTTTTGTCGACTCCTTCCCGCTCGTTGGTACTGAGGAAGACGGGTGGTTTACGTTTGGCTGTGGATCTTGCAGCTACGAGGGACGGAGCTGTGACATCTCAGGCCAGCGAGTGGTGGTGTGATGATCATGATGAGGCCTGTAAGAGGACCACAAATGTTGCTGAGCATGCTTGTTCTATATCCACGAAACTCTCAAATGCCCAGCTTTCAGTTGCTTCTGGAAGGTTCACCTTTCCGCGTTCCGTGCGCTGCTGCAGGACGAAAGGCGTGAAGCGATACACAGCGGTTGACAAGTGGACGGCGCAACTAAAGTCCTTACACAATACAGTCGTCAACAAGCTTGGTTAGCAAGACCCAATAGTTCTTGACATGGTGACCGCACGAGTTTCAGCACAATGCTTCGTACCCGGCTCCGACAACATCAAGCATTCTCTTGTTTCCCTGTCTAAAAAATTGAGATTGAAAGCCATGCCCATAAGTTGGTGAGATATGCCGGCCGTCGATTCATGTCTCCATATATCGAGTATGAAGCAGTGATAGTAAGTTGAGTCTGTTGAAATGCATATGGTCGACGTGCCAGGCGGTATCAACTTCCACAATTTTCTAGCTAGACGGATCTTGGCCCGACCCTCTTTAGACGGTGGGCATCCTTACTGCATGCATGCCTGGCTATGACCGGATGCCACTGATCGAGCGTGATGCAGTTGTGATCACAATGCATGTTTGCAGTATACGTACCTTCGATGCGTTCGGCCGGGCGCCGGACGGATTGAGCAATCATGTACGTTCTTAGGCACTATACACATGAGCGAATGCGAGCGCAGCCTAGGCCGGCCCGACGGCGGAAGTCGGGCAGCTGCATCCTTGCATGTGGACTTCAACATATGAATCATTAGGGGGCTCTTACAGAGTCTTCAGGACCCATCCCGGCGATCTGATTGGTCGAGTGACGTAAGCTTAACGCCGTCACCAAGGTCTCAGACTCCGCATGTCATTGCAGCTGAGTTGGTGTTAATGATAAGGACAGAGGCAGACTGTGATGTGGTGTCAAGGCTCCGCACTGAGCCGCAGTTTGAATTGGTTGGCACTTCCCCCGGGTTTTCGGTGATAATAACGCTATGCTCACAGGCAGCACTGTGAGTGGTCGCACCGATTTATTATTTGTGTCAATGTCCCAGCACCTAGCAGCGTGTCTATGAAAAGTGACACTAATAGTAAGAGCAACGTTCGAGCAGACCTGGAGGCCTGTTTGCCGAGCTAGCTCGCACCGATATTGCAACTTGAACTGGTGTCAAGCAGTCAAGTTGAGCGTGCCAGCACGTACGTTGAGGTCGTTTGCACCAGTTTCGACAGTTTGGTGACCGATTGGAAGTGTCAGTAGATGCGGGAATGTGCTTCGCTAATTATCTCTACGTTAACACTAGAAAGCTTCCGGGGGCCCAAGAGCCCCCGGCACGCCTAGTTCGGTCGATCGGAATCTAGGTACCGCGAGTATATGCACGTACGTACGTAGACACGCAGTAATTCGAGGAACCCATGCATGTGCGGGCCGATCGCTATAGCTTTCAATGATGTTTGATCAAATCCGCACCGTCATGAGTCCATGTCAGTGCAAGGACGGTCACTGCATGCAGCTAGAAAACGCATGCCAGTGCGGGCTAGCTTGCATCCTCCATATGCATGAGTGGTAAAATGACGGCCAAGCACCTCATGCGGAGTCTGGCAACCAGGCTTGCCGGGCTGTTTCGCTCTTTCACCGAGTCAGGTTGAAGCTCATTGACAAATACTAGTAGCACGTATTTGCAGGAGCTTGCCAAGAATGAAGGCCCGCTGTTCAAGAAAGAGGCATGCAGTCCGTCCCCCTCCAAGTTTTGAGCAACTAATCTCTTTCGGTGAACTCTCAACACACGAGCAGCTACAGTGATTACTACCTAGTTCGTTTGCAGGACACATGAATTTCTACGGCTCGTTTACACCTAGCAGGGTAAAGGCTTTAGAAACAATCGCGGTCTCTGAAGCGTAAAGAAAGCTCTCGATCTCCCGTGCCCATTGCTAACACTTTCTTGTCGAAGGCACCTCCTGCGCACACACAGGGGACGTGTCAGCAGAAGACCAAGACAGTCAATGAGCTTTGGACAAAGCCAGTGACGATCAAGCGGACTTTCGGAGGTTTCAGCTGCTTTCTGCGCCGGTCCTGTCGTCTCCCTCAAGAAAGATCAAAGACTCCAGACAACACACGAAAAGGCGCAAAGAATGACCGGGAAGAGACGACTAGTCGGCTGAAAAGCTAGATAGCCACCACAAGCACACGTCCACAACGCGTGCGCGGCCAATTCCATGCATGGCAACGGCTCTTTCCACATGGGGATGTGGCCGGCGGAAACAAACGGAGACCTTTTCCTCCCTGCTCACCGTTCTGCTCGCTTGTCAGGGTAGCATGCTGATGCTGATGCATTGTGGACGTCTCAGCATCACTTCTGTGTCGCGTTACTGACGTGTTGCTGATGCGTTGCAGACGTGTTGGCGACGCCCGCCCTAGGACCGCGGCTCTACCACCTGGCGGAAGGTGATGCTGACACGTCGCTCGCCCGCCAGGTCCGCGTTCTTGATGGAGTGCGTGAAGTTGTAGCGGCTGTCCTGAGTTTGCACCTGGCCAGGTTAATAACGTGGCTTAGTCTTTCGCCTGGGGTGCTTAACCTGGGGTGCTTAACCTGACAACTGCCGACGTGTCACCCAAAAAGCGACCCATCCGGCCTCCTGAATGGGCCCGCGTTGGTCGCCCCGCCAGTTGTAACGGACATCCTTTTGTTCGCCCTGCAACACGTTGCGGTGATACACTTCGGCCATCGAACTAGGGGCGTCTGGGCTGATGCGTCAAGAATTGTAAACAACTCCATTGTTTGTTGGCAGAGAACGCACCGTTCAACACTGCCCTATGCTTTTCTCGAGACCTTTGAGCTTTCCCCACTTCACAAACTAGGGGGACCAAACCTCCAAGTACGATCTCCACAATGCTGCAAGACGGAAGGCCTTCAAAGCATGGCGCTCAGCTAGAATATCGGAGTGTATCGGAGTGTCATTAAAACAATATTATCTGCTTCCGGAGCGTTCCTATGTCACAAAATGTCTCGCTCAACGTATCCGAGTTTCTTTTCCTCATTGAGCGACCATCCCTTCTTCATCGAGGAGGCTTCCAGCCCACCTGTAGATACCGCCTGCAAAGAAGCAAGTGTTTTCAAAGCACTTAATGGTTACGGCGAGTGTAGAAAAGTTGTTCAAGAGGAGGCTTGGTTGAAAACCCGTTCGCCAAATGAGAGAAATTTCAGCCCACCTGTAGGCACCGCCGGGGCAGGCGCACCCGGAACTTCTCGGGGCGGCCCCTCTCCCGCTCGTACGTCATGACGCAATCCGAGTGCAGGCTGATGCCCGCAATGATGGTGCCTGACAACTGCAGGTGATCGTTATGCTTTTGCCAGAGTGCTATGATTATCCATTTTTAATTACTTCAACGCTGCCTGAACTGGTACCGATGCATCCGTCGTTCCTGCTACAGCCGCTGTCGTTCGTTTGTGGAAAAGTCTGGCGGTATGTGATCCGAGGATGTTAGAGTCAGGAAAGAAACGACGGGTTCTTACTGTAGACGGGGAGATGACGAATTTACAGAGACAGATTGCGTGGACGAAGCGCATGAAAGTGAAAACCCCGCCCCCCTTTCCGCCCCCCCTTCATTCATACGCAGCTTGCAGGAAGCAACCTTATGGCAATCCCGCATCGAAATAAGCTTTGCAACCCAAACGTATGCTACGGCAGCCAATAGCTTCCAGATCAGCTCCACTTCGCACAAATCAAGCAGAAGGGGTTGTCGTAGCGTTCTCATACCTGTCGATCGTCGACGTGGGGTCGCAACCAGTGACCGTCTTCCCGTCGATAGTTGATGGCGTTACACTCATTCGGAACAAAGTTGGACAAGGGCGGCGCGACCGTCCGAATGCGGTCCAACACGGACTGGAGGAACGGGGGCATCGGACGCTTCGGCTTCAAAATGGTCCTGCAAAAAGTGGAAGCTCTTCGATGATCAGGGACCTGAGGCCGCAATCCAAAGGAGAGGGAGAAGCGAGCTAGGGTCGCAAGGGGGACCTGGGCACTTGGATTTGGCGATGGGGAGTTGAAAAAACTTCGTCCGATTGAATAACAGTTTTCTCCTTCGGACGTTGCGAGCCGACTCCAAGGTCAACTGGGGATGCATGAGGCATTCAACGACAACGTAATTCAGTTCCGATGAGTCTAAGGTAAGCTGCCCATGAGGAGACAGAACCGGAGCAGGATAAGCCCACTTTTGCAACGAGGCAGACACCGGCGAGCCGCTATTAAAAAGGGGGGCCGCCTTCCTAGCCCCTCTTCTTGTCTAGGCTCCTGGATGAATACAACTTCGAACCTTTCTATTACTGGAGGCAAAGTGAAGACGAGGTTAGCGAAATGGTCAAAAGCCTTTCCACAGACAGACAAGAGCGACGAAGAATCTCTCGTAGCTAAAGCGCACCTCCTCCGGAGGTCCGTCACGAAGCCGTACGCTTTGCCCTCGTTCAGGTCCCCGAACGCCCGTGACGTCACCCACGGGTTGCTGACGTCAGCGTCCAGCGAGGCGAGGATGTGCGCCTCCTCCTGCGAACAAAGAGCGACGTTTCCGCACATAACTTTCTTCTGGTCAATGGAACTCATTTGCATTTTCGTAGTCTGTCTCTAGAGGTCCGTACGTTGTCTCTGAAGTCTAGCTACCGGTTTGTTTCATTTAAGAAGGTCTTTCATTCCGCTTCATACGCTGGCCTCGTAAGAGCCTGGATTGTATAAAGTGGGCTGCTTTGGCCATGTCCGCTTGCACAGTCCAGCGCAGCGAATTGCCAAAAATCACAAAAGGAAACCCAATGTGAGCCGTCGAATCCTCGCAAGTGAATGAGAATCTTGGTGGGACTAGGAATCTAAGGTCACTACTGACCGATCGTGTAGATCTATCGGTTCAAGGTCTCTACCGAAGACCATACGCATTCCGATCGTCGCATCCCAAAAAGCTCAGGGAGCATTCGCAGCGCCTTTGGCAGGCTTGGAATGCAAGAAATGCCAACAGAACAGACAAACAAAAGTAACCCCGCTACGCCTCTTCACCTGCTCCGTCAGAAAGTTCTCCACGAGATAGTGCCCCTTCGGAGCGCTCGGTTGCCGCGCCTGGATCGCCGCCCAGGAGAGGCCGAACAGCGGCCGCTGCCCCCGTTCACGCACCATCCCGAGCAGGGTGTGAACGGGCTCCCTCCTCACAGGGCTAGGAGTGCGAACAGGCTCCTGGCCAGGGATGTGAACAAGCTCGTTGCTGTTGATGTGAACAGGCTCCCAACTGTTGGCCTGAACAGGTTCTTGTGTCACCTCCCGCTGACCCCTGCCGTTTTCGGGTGCCGTTGACACAACCGAAACGGCCCCGTACCTTGTGCCAGTCTGAACTTCCCCGAGAGTGTCAGGGCCCCCGATCTCGTTTGCAGTGCCTTGGCCTGTGTGAATACCCCCTGAGGCCCCCTGCTTTCCAAGCCTTTCTCTCCACGGCTCTTCACACTGGCGCTCTGAAGCTCCATAAGCAGCAGCGGCACTGTCAGTGTGAAAAGGGTCCCGTCCGTCAACATTTGCACCAGGGAGCCACTCATTCAGCGTCGGCATGACTTCGAACTCTCCTATGCTTTCTCTCAGCCTGGTTTCTCTAGCCCCGCACTGCTTCCCTCCCTTCATTCCGTCCCCCAATCCATACACACCCGCGCCGTTTGCTTCTGCCCCCTCTAGTTGGGCGCCTTGTTCCCGTCCAACCCGGCCCGTTTCACCGAAATTTGCGCTCGTGTTGAATGCCTCTTCATGATAGGCCCCTCTGCAGTGTGCATCATCAGAAACCCCGGCGTCGAACCTGCATTCCGTCATTCTGCAGACTCCGGTGCTGATGTCAGCAGCGTCAGGAGCAGGCTTGTTCTGGTCAAAGTTCTGCTGGTTTGAAGTCCGGGCGGTTGCAGGGGTTGGGGCGATTGCAGCTTCGGGTATGGTTGCTGGGTTTGTGGCGCGTTGCACGCAATCGAGGTCCAAATGGTGGTTCATTCTTGTGAGCGGTATTTGCACCTGCGATAACAAACAGTTTCCATAAGGGTGAAGTACATAATACTGGGAAGCCTTCGCGGAGCTCTGACACAAGAGGATACTTTTGAGCCGTTTGCTGCTGTTCAGGCTGTCCGTAAGTTTATGACACTTTGGAATTTCGTTGCCCTCCCTTCTTTGGATGCACGGTGGCTCCGCCATTAGAAGGAAAGGCAATGAATCGAACAGAAGGCAGACAGAATCCTTTTTGATGTAAGCACAGAGTCCTCTTCCAGGTTTGCACCCCAGCCAATTGAGCCTGATCACCCTATGGGTGCCGATTAGAATGATACCTGGTCCCCCTCAAAGGACACGAAAGTCAAGCATAACTCTGCAAAGAAGCAGCGGATCAACCAACAGCAATGGAAGCAGCGCCGCAAATAGATCGTTCGCACCAGTCTCTCTTTTCTGCATTACAGGTGCCGGTTCGGAAACAGGGAGAAAGTTACAGATTTGGCGGAATGTTCTGCACTAGAGTCAGTCACCCGTCACAAACTTGACCGAGCTGCAAGCAAAAGCGAGCTTGTGGCTTACTGTGCAGAGTGGACATTGAGCATATGCGCTCCCATTCACCGCCCTCCCCAACGCTGCCCTTGCGGCCCTCGCCCTCTCCCCATCTTGCTCAACGCTACGCTCTCGCTGGTGCGCCACCTTACGCCGCTTGATGAACGCCTCAAGGGAGCCTTTGCTGGACGTCAACTGTCTGGGTTGTTCGCAGATGTCGATAGGGTCGTCAAAGTCAGCTTGCACCTCTTCAATCAGACTGGCGATGCCTGGCTGAAGAGAAGTTGATACCTGCTGCGCGACTGTCCCGCTTTGCAGAGGCGCTTCAACTCGCCAGCCCTCACTTGTCTTCAGATTTCGAGTCTCCACCTCTCCTCCTCTCTGCAGTTCCCAAAGTTTGCTCTGTTCCCCCCCGCCATTGCTTTTACTTTGCCCCTCAACATTCCCGCTGTTAAGTATAGCAAGTTCTGTGCTTGGCTGTCCTGACTTCCGCGATGCTTTCAATGCAGGCTGCAAGAATGCTGTGAGGCGGGGCTGCACTGTCGGCCTCGCGCGTTTCCTGTCAGGCCTCCTCATGCTTTCACAACCTCTCCAGCCAACCCAGCTTGGAAGCGGCCGGCTACGAAAACAGCTCACAGTCCACGAAGAAAACCGTTGATGGAAGCACAAATTCTGCCCGAATTGACTTGAAAACCGAAGATTCTGCTCGAGGCAAGCAGGTCAACTTCAAAGCGCCATGCCACCTTGAGCTTAACAACGCCACCACGAATGTGCAAAGCAGCCAAAGATGGCTGGTGCTGGTCAAAGTTGAAGCCAGCTGGTTTCAAGTGGTTAAGAACCAAGGCCATTGATCAACACCACATTGCCGGTTGCGTTCCTGGTAGTAGTTCGGGATACAACTTCTAGGGCGGGCCAGTGCAAGAGTACGTGCCGTTTGTCTCTGCTCACATCTGTCCTCTGGGACAGTGTCAATTGACCGGGGGGCAGCCATTTGAATTTGGAAAATGCAGTCTAAGCTGCACACGCAGGCTGGGCTGAACTCAAGAAGCATTCGGACCAAGGACCAAGGTCCAAAGTCTTCACATTTCTTCGTCGTCGTGGGGGGCCCCACATGGGCCATGACATTGATCAGCAGCACCACTGCCACCAGGGCAATCTGAGGATTTTTCACATGGAGGTGCAAAGTTTGGCGGTTCGAAGGCATCAAGTCCGATAAGATAAAACCACATAGGAGCATTCTTCAGAAGGAGTTCTATTTGACGTTTTGGAGATCTCCTTCTATCCTTGTAAGCCACTATGACCCAGTATTCGGGCACGTCCGCCCTGCACAGTTGGCGTCCTGCATTCAAAAAACAGTTTGCTATCCCAGCGACTGTCTTTGTCGTTTTGCTTGCAACACTCATCATGGGGACGTGCCTCAGTCAAGGCACGCTTTTAGAAAACGGCTGGGGCCCGGGAAGGTGGCATTTAGCAGGGCGCAAGAACCTAACTTGGGAAGCAAGGCCGTCCGTGGAGCATGTGACGAAACCTCCTGTTGAATTCAACCTCGAGACGGATCAACGTACAGAGGAAGGTTCCGAGCCGGATCTCAAGCAAGGTTTAGTGCCAGGCTCAGAGCCAGGTTTAGAGCCAGGTTCAGAGCCAGGTTCAGAGCCAGGTTTAGAGTCAGACTCAGAGCTAGTTCCGGAGCCAGCTTTAGAACCAGAATTAGTGCTAGGACCCAAGCCTCCTTTGGACTTGACCTGTGAGCAGTGGCTCTTAGAAGCTGATGGTCCGGTGGTCCCTGGGGGGAGAAACTTCTCTGATGAACCGGTGATGATATACGAGGCAGATCTGCCGCCGTGGTTTGCGGCTTCTGAGGAGGAGCTGAGGAGCTGTGACGTAGCGTGCAGGTAAGTTTGTATCTTTCAGCATTGTGGAACGTGGAAACTTTCGGGGGCGAAACAGTTGGCTACTCGCATAGCGTGGTTTGTGTGCAGAAGCTGGTGGGGTAGTGAAGGCCCCAATCATCGTGTATCATAAGAAGAGGAAACATAGTCTCTTGCAAAGCTCCATGAATCTGCCCAGTCTTATCGAGAAGCTACGTGCTTTTGTTTTACCAGACATACAAAGCGATGTCTCATTTGGTTCAGAAGAGCAGCTTTGTGCTTGCCTAGATTTTGAGAGCTTTCAAGGATACTCGACATCCATCAAGCTGCCCTTTTCAACCAACTTTTTCCCTGTTTCCTACTGATGCCTTCAATCCCGACTTGTCATGCAAAGAGTTGCTCCTTTGGATCCACGCGCAACATGGTTCACTCTGATGGTCATAAGTCACAACTGAAGTAGAAAACCAAGAGTATGTGAGAGAAAATCTGTGAGCTGGGAATGAACATTGAATACGCGCTTCTTGTCAAGCCCTGTAAGCCATCCGGTTCGGGCCCCTCCCACTCGAGCTTCCTTTTTCAAAGTAAACACTCTTTTGTCACGAATAACCTCTCAGACATCGTCAATACGTTTCCTTCGACATCCCCCCCTATTTTCTTAGAAGCTTTCAACTTGTTTTGAGCTGACGTTCGTCCCTTTCCAGGCCCATTCTGCCAAACTCCGAGGAAGCCAAAAACGTCACACGGTGGGACGCCATGACCTGGCAGTGGCCTTCCGGCGCCCCCGACCGCTCTCACGGTTTCCGCGTGCTCCGCAACATGGAAAGCGCCGCCTACTACCCAATGCTGGCCGTCTCCGAGGCCCGCAAGCAGGGGTATGACATCATCATGACGTCAGAGCTGGCGTCCGACATCCCCCTGCTGTACATCGGTGGCAGTTACTTCGAGCCAGGGTTGGGGTTCGAGGAGAAGGTTCCAGCGGTCGCGGCCGCGATCAGTAACTGCGGCGGGTTTTCTTCGAGGTTGGAGATTATTGCGAAGTTGAGAGAGTTCGGGGTGGAGGTGCATCAATACGGGAGGTGCAACCGAACGCACGAGTTCCCCGGTAAGAAAGTTTTCGTGTGACGCCCTTCCAGAGGTTCGATTAAGAAGTGCAGATTGTACAGGTCGACAGGTGCGCAGTCTACAAGACTCATACAGACGACATTTAGTGATCAGATGCGGATTTCGCCAAGTAAGATGGTCAAAAGTGCGGAGCTTGTAGGAACAAGGAACGAGTTTCATGCAGACTCAGATTCGAGCACTCCGATTTTACATGTGCGCACGGTGTCCATCGCTGGAGCAGTCTGACTTTGTCGAGGCACATCAAACTCTTCTAATTAGAGTATTCGACTTGAGTATTCGACTTCTAAGTCTTTCCTTCTTTTTGCATCCGCTAACCATGAAGAAGGGTGCAAGACCGGTCGACTCAGATTGGAAGCTTCCCCGCAGACGAACCGCCCCCCCCGGGTATGAACGAAGCAGACGCGCTGGCGCACCGATACCTCTTCTACTACGCTGCTGAGAACAGCATCTACCCAGACTACGTCTCTGAGAAATTCTTCCGGGGGCTCCGAGTTGGCACCGTCCCCGTCTATCTGGGAACGGCCACAGCCGTCGATTTCGCGCCCGCCGAAAATGCGATTCTGTGGCTGAGTGGGATCGAGGACGTGCCACGTGTCGCTGAGGAGATCAAGCGACTGACGAACGACCGGGCCGCTTTTGAGGTGAGGCATCGCTTATGGAGAGCGGTTCTTAACCGAGGAAGGAAACGGATGGTTGACAAGTAGAGCTTGCTCGTGTATCGTGAGGGAGTTGTTAATCGATGACAAGAATCGACTTTGGTAGTCGTACTCTAGCATTCGGTACTTTGGCGCTCTGGGTGCTGGACGGTCGAAAGCCGGTGATCTTCTTCACGAGGTCCTTCACGAGCGGAGAGGTGCCGCAAATCTTACAACCTCAGAACTGCGGAAGGTGGGAAGATCAGACGGGTCGGACAGCTTTTGCTTGACCCGCTCCGCTGTCCGTGGCGCTGGTTGCTCAAGAAGGTAAGAGTTGCTGATTGCGGTTGACGGCGCGGCTGACCGTCTTTGAAGGGCTCTCGAACCCTGTTCACTCGGGTGAGTGTTTGAGGCGGTGCTGATTGTATTTAGGAGTGGCTTGAGAGATCTCTTATGTCTGCAGGAACGACTCGCGTGAAAGTCAAGCCTTTTAAGGCCTCACGAATGGTGGTCAAGCGGGTGCGAAAATCGGATGTGCAAAGTGTAAGCAAAGTGGCTCGAAACAAATTCACTTTACTGTTATCTCTTTGATTATATATGATCATTCAAACATTGATCTATTTGCAGGAACGACTGGCGTGGAAGACCCGCGGTGCCTCCGACGCATTTCTGGCGCTTCTCAGCCTCAACGCGTTCGCTCGTTCGTGTGTCCTGTGCATACACATCGCAACGAAACTACAGGAAGAGGCGCTAGCAGCACCGACGTTGCCTGAGCTGGAAATCGGCACCACTGCTATAGGCCAAGCGGATACGAGCATGGAACCGGTTGATGGGACTCGGCCGTGCTCATGTGCCGAAGACGTAGGGTTCGAGGGGGGAAAGGAAAGCGGCTTGCAGACGGTTTATCACTTGTACGTGCGTGAACTGAACGCTTTTCGGTATCTTGACGTATTTATTCGGTCCACTGACTTGAGTATCGCGGGGCTCGAGAAAGCCATATTGGCGCGGTTTCAGGCGACAGACTATGCGCCGGTGTTTGTAAGGTATGGGTTTCACAACTCTAGAGACGGATATAAGGTGTTTAAGGTATACCCAGCATTGACAAACCAAAGACGTGTTTTGTTCGAGGATGGTGCCTTTGCCTCGGATGACGACTTTAGAAAACACTTGGACTCTGTTCCATGTCCACGGTTGGAAGTTATATTCGTTTAAACGTACTGCGTGCTGTCCGCATAAACTCGACCATTGCCTTGCTGATATGTTTGCGGGAACGTTCAGCCACATCTGCAGAGTATCGTTGACAATCGGACATCAAGGTGCACTTAAAGCTGACTTGTATGTAGATGTGTTCAACCAATACTGACCACATGGAGGTTGGCTGGTCCTATATGAAGCAATCGGGGGTGTTGGCCATAGAACCAAGCGATGCATGTGGAGGCCGTCGAATCGTTATTTACATTGTCAGCATATGTATCGCGATCATGGTCCAGACATTGGATTGAATGCGTTAGTTGAGAGCTTCTGCATGACGAAGAATCTGATACCTTTAAATTACGTCGATCTCGACGTTTCTATCAAGTTTGACCTCTACTTTCGATTGTTGACCCGTCGAATGCGTTTGAGCTGGGGCCCGACATTGCCAATAGCATGGCCGCGCGTAGGATGGATGACGTGCATCCTACACCAACGTACCGTCCTACTATTAAGGCCCGCCAAGAACATTTCAGGGTTAGGAGAGAGACTACGTACTAAGACGTGGTATGTGCCATTGCATGCAGGAGCTGCTCAGCTTGCACAGGAGCTCCGCCCGAGTGCTCCACAATGCCCGCCCGGTGGATTCCGGGCAATCGATTCCGTTCCGTCTGATCCGCGTGCCGTAGTTGCTGTGCCGGAATGTGCAGCACCGTCAATGTTTCAACCACGCCAAGTTAAGTTTTGTGGCCCTGGGCAGTGTTGCTACACAGCAGCATTTGATCCTGTTAATGTTCAGTTATCAGCAGAGGCGCTTGCCTGAGCTCTGTGAGGGTTTTGCTAATGCCATTCATGGTGCTTTCATAGAGCCTGCTCGTATCTTGTGCTGACATGCGGGGCGGTGATTTGCGGTCGTAACATGGTTATGGTCGGAACCAATGGCGTCTAGCAGAGTTTGGGAAGTCCTGAGTGAGAGCGTGAGGCGTCTGAAACGGAGGGAGAACATTGCGGCGTGGGGGGTGGCAGGAACGGCCGCTTACTTTCTTTGGGTGCGCCCAGAGCAGAAGAAGGAAGAGGCACGCAAGGTAAGATCGAAGGTCGGATGACACTGCGCAAAGTTTCCTGTGACCAGGGTCTGCTCTTACAAGGGGCTCCTCTACAGAAGCAGGTCTCGCCGTGCTCCGATGGTCACGCTTCAATGAATGATTCGTATTTGGCCAACTGAGCCTGAGAAACTGGTTTCTCATCATCAACTCTCTGGGGACTGGGGTGGTCGAATGGGGCATGGTTGGATAGCTGCTTCTAATGTCATCTGTGCTGTTTGCCTTTTTTGCATGTGGTTTAGTTGTGGAAGAATAGCTGTGGTCACAGATTTGGGAGAGCTGCAAGAGAACCAGATTGACCGCGAATGCTGTATGACAGATTAGTCTGTCAGCTGATGCTTGAAGATCATCGATGGGGATTGTCCCAGAGACTGCGGAAGAGATTGGGGTGTCTGCTTTTGCTTTCGATGGAAGTTTGCTTCTTGCAAATCACAAAGCAGTAGACTCTCCATCAGTCGAAGCTCTTGAATCGTGGAAGCCTTTGTAAGTTGTAGATGCATCATACATGCTTGAGGATCAAAGTACTGAGGAGTATCGATTTGTCCTCATTTGTCCCCTTCTCCCGCGGTTGCCCCTGTTTTATACTTGGATTGGAATCGAATCTTACGCTCCACTTGTTTTCCTCTTCTCAAGCCTCCAGCTTGTAAAATCTTCTTCTGCGAGAAACTGCAGGAACTCTGCGCTTCTTTCTTTAGCTCTCAAGCAGCAGAGGTCCTGCAGACTGACCACCACCACCTCATCGAGTCCTGACAGAGCTCCTATTGATTTTATAATTTCCTGGCATAGTCCCTTCCCTCATCCCCCTTCGCCACAAGTTGACAGCCCAACCACCTCTAAACTAGCAACCTCAGCCACTAACCCTGAAAGTAATCCGGAAGAGTTGTCCACAGAGTTCCCTGGAGTCCACATTGTCTTTCCACCGGCAACCTTTTGGCGAACAGCAGACTCTGTTGCTGACTTTATGGATTAGTGATCCAATCCAATGGGGGCTTGATGATTTCAATCTGTCCACACTCTTCAGGCGGCGGAAGCTTTACGGCGGGAGAACGATCGGCATCGATATATAGAAAAGTCGAAGCCGAAAGCAGATCCGCAGGTACGTGCGCCGCACCTTTTCTTCGAAAAATCACGTGCGCTGCTTGAGAGGCCTTTAGATGTACAAGAGCATCCTTGCTTGGCTGTCCTTTTTGTATAAGGTGCCATCTCCGACAGCTGGTGTCATGGTTTGTCCAAAACCAGGCTGATGACCATGTAGCAAGTTCTGGTTACACCTGATTGATTGGTTCTCTGTATGGTTAAAAAGGGGAGGTTAGCTTTGGTCAACGGAGAATGTCAATACAATGTTATCTATGCTAAGCTACGAGAGCGCAGATCTTGAAACGCACATGTAGCTTAAGGACAATCTTGTGATCTCCTTTCTGCAGGCGACTGGTTTGACTTACGGAAAGAAAGGGGAGGATGCTGCCTCCTCATTAGGAAGCAAGGGTTCGGATTGAATCATCCGCCTGTTCAGAAAAGTTGAGGTACGACGGGATTATTGTAGTGTACCATCCTGAGCACACGTAAGGCGCAAGGGGCATAACATAATCTTGCATAGCATCAGACAAAGCGATTGCCTGTTGCTAGAGAGAACTTTTTGATTACCGTGATGGTTCCCGCCGTCAGCTCAAAGTAAAGTGCAAGCTAGATTGGTTGCAAGATCAGTTCAGAATAAGAGTCTCTTAGTAAGCTGGTCGAGAAGTCACCCAAGGCCAATATCATTGATCGACCATTTGAAACACTTCGAGCACAAGTTGGCATAGCCAGGACCTTCAAAAGCTAGAACCGCAAAGATGGTAATGTCGAGTCGGACCACGAGCTATATTGCACTATAATGCCTATTGCACGGACGATGTTCAACATGTAGGAGCTAGTACAGCTGCACAGGCACTCAATCGTACAGGACGGTAGTGGCAGCCACTATACCGTCTTGTACAAGTGCCTGTGCAAGTGCCTGCATGTCAGGGATCCAACCGTCATGATATTTGCGGATATTAGTGCGATCCGTGACTGTTTGCCAGCGCTGTTTGCAATTTGTTAGTAATGAAGCGGCATGTGTTCGGTCAGAGCTAGGATTTCTTAATTGTAAGTCTCATGCGCATTGGGGTAGACGAATTGCGCAGGCCGGGCCCGCCCAAACAGCATCGCCGCGCGGCCGTAGCTTACTTAACTTCCATGACGTCCTGGCTGTCTATCTGGTCATTAGGCTCGAGCTCAAGATATATCTCTTTTGAATCATGGATGCACAATGATGCGCGTATTGTCGCGGCCGCAGCAGCTAATGATACAAAACGCAATCCCAAATCTTCAGCACAAACATTGCATGCAAATCGTTTTGTCTGCCGGCGGCTACGATAGCTCACCAATCGCTTGTAAGAAAATATATTTGCAGGTTGAGCGAGCCGGTTGAAAACCCGATATTGCACATGCATGAGGCGGCCATCATGATTGAACTTAGCACGCGTGACAAGCTGTGCGCGGCTGCAAGGCCCCAACGAAACCGTGGCCCGTTGCAAGGCTCAAATCAAGCAGCCTCAGACACGTGACAGTGAGCCCGGCGAGATCCTTGCAGACTCACCGTACATGTACATTAAGTTAACGATCACGTAGACAACGGTTCAAAACGTAGGATGGGAACATAGTGCACAAGCCCACACGGGCTTAAATATCAATATCTTGCATAAGTCAACTGGCCGCTGAGAGCGGCGTCGCTCAACTTAATCAGATCTTGTCACCAGGCGAACTTCTCCTAGAGGTCCAAGAAGAAGGCATGGCGGCCCAATCCGTGACCATGGCATTTCAAAGAATCTACTGCTAGCCTAGTAGCCGTGTGCGGGCCCTAGCTCGACGGCCACTTTCTGAACGAAGATCGCGAGTTTATTGCTGTTTGCGCGCAACAGCACCCAACGGTTGTCTATGGCTACTCGACCCACTTGACCCTTTCGCCAGGCCCGGCGTACTTTACATCTATCACTGCTTTTCCTACCTCTATATCCGTCTACTATTACCGGCCCTCAAAGTTCAATTTGACCAGGGGCTGCAATCGCAACCCACTGCATTCCGCATCGTGTCCTATTTGTTTATTGGTGGCCTCCGGTCGTAACATATGGTTGCATGTGGGGGGGGCCTCCCATGTGGTTGACCGGGACACCCATTGGCGGGCCCATGGGGCGCATGTGACCAGGATTCATCATCATATGGTGACCGTACATATTCTGGCCCGGGTGTAGATTTGGTGCGATGGGGGGGTGACCGCCGATGCCGCGCTGGGAAGGGCCGTGGCCCCCCTGGCCGTTGACACTCGTAATGTCGTGGATGCTATTTCGGCGCTTGTCCTTGCTAATGGAGTTGAGCCGGATGAAGTACTTTTGGGCGTGTGATGCAACCTGGGTGGGCGTTCGCGAGACAACGAAGTTGCGCGAAATGGATCGCCAGTCTCCTTTCCCGAACTTGGCGAGACCGAGCAAAAATAACCTGCGCAGAAGCAACGCGAAAGTGAGGAGTCGTTTGCAGAGGTGCCCAGTACTTTGGGTCTGGCGTTACAGCATGTTCAGTTCCTTTCAGATTAAAAGGTAGGCTGACACTTGTAAGCACCCCTCAGAAAGGCGGCACAAGTGCCTCACTGTATTGAAGATGTAGAACGATTGATGTGCTTTCAGTGGCATGGTTTGAGCATTCTGAGACGTCAGGGTAGCCAACAGAGCACACAACAAACGGCACCACCTTAGTCGCTTCCAACCGCGCATCAAGCTCAGGGAAGTGCTTGTGACACCGATTTCCCTGCCGAGAATGCGCTATACGCCACTCTTGCTAAACGTGCTTAAGTGAACCCGCACAAATGAGTCTACCCCCGGCCTATCAGCGGGCTGCTCTCCCTGCTCTCAATCTGTTTGTTCCAGTCAGCAACGGATTTCGGATGCTTTCGAGAGGCTACCAACGCCCTTGTGCTTTTCAGGCGCTTCTAAACGACTTGCCTCCTCAGACAGCTTGACCTTAATCTTAAAGTCAACATCTTGAGAGGTGAATCCGCAATACTTGCCCCAGAAGCGCTATCTTCCGAACCTGCAATCTCTTCTTAGCCGGTACCTCACTTCTGGGACAGTCAACTCGGCTGCTGCCAGAAAGTTCTAAACAGGGAGCACGCACACACGTGTTATCTTCTGCGAAGTGGCTCTCGCCTGCTTCAAACAGGGCAGAGCAACCTGAAATTCAGTGGGCAAGAAACAGAAGATGCCCGTCCTCACCTGCGCTTCATTTCCAACCACTCACTACCCTCAAAACGTCAGCGTGGCACCTAGCTTGAAACTTAGAAAGGGTACAGACGATGATTTCTGCTTGCACGCTCCTCCTCACACAATCAACTCAGACATAACTGCCTCAGTCATAGGCAACCCAGTCAAATGCCTCTGGATTTGCACCCCCTCACCTGTGCTCCATTTTACATTTGCATATTCCAAAGTAGAGCTCACTTTTCCGCATCAGACTTGAACCCTCAAATGGACCCCAACTCCAATCTGTTCTTCTCAGGACAGGTCAACTTCAACCCTCAATCAGTACTGTGGGAAACAACCCTGTATCTCACCACACCACCCCTCTGCTTTTTAGGCACTCACTTTCCAGTATGCAAAACCCCCTTCACGCGCTGTCATCCTGAGAACAGGCCTCTCGTCCTCTTTTTTTGATGATTCAATGTAAACCCTCCCTGGCGTGTTTTCCCCCTCATCATGAGCAGTGCCCTCATTCTTAGCACCGTCCATTTTTACATCCAACAAGTACAGCATAACTGAGATACAACTTGTTCCATACAGAAAGCGCCCGAAGCGGAGGCCCCCTCACCTGTGCTCGTCTTTCGACCATGCAACCTTCTTCCACCGCTGCTGATGGAAGCACTTCCCCTTAACTACTCATGCTTAGCGCAGGTCAGTCTCAGGTCGACAAAGAAAAAGAACCACTGAAGAAACATCTCCATCTTCAGAAAATGGGCATGAAGCGGAACCCCCCTCACCTGTGCTCTTCTTCTGACCATGCGATCCCCTTCCGCCGCTCCTGCTCTGACGACCGTTGCCCCACCTTTGGCCGCCGCGTCCCCCCCGGGCTCGCCGGCATTGCCATCTCCACCCCATTCCCAACATCGTCCCGCATCATCTCCTCCTCTGAAGCCGTCTGCTTATGCGGGTCCCCATAAGCTATGACCGGCACGCGCCCTGACTCAATTGCGCGCACGTCCTCCAGAAGCTGCTCATATTTGCGCTTGACTTCGTCAGGTGTCTTCCCAGGCACCTGGCCCGCGATATTGTTCCAGCGCGCCTCGTCCTCCTCGCCATACATGTTGAGCGCATTCTCAAAGAGCTTGTTTTCTGAGGGGGTCCAGCCTGCAGCGGGGGCATTGTAAACTTTGAGTACAAGCTTGACCTTCTGACTGCGACTTGGAAGCTTAGGAACTTCATTCAGGTGTTTATTTCCTCGAATGTGAGATACAGCTTGTCTGTTGGGCAAATCAATTGCGCGAATCTACATCCAAACACACGAAAGTCAAGGTTTTGCATTCCGCTCGTCATCCTTGAACAGCTGATAACTCAACACTCCCTTCCGCTCTTTCCATCCATCTTCAAAGCACATGCCTCTTTCCTGCCCTCCTGGTCTGGTTTGGGAGGACACTGCAAATAGACGCAATGAGTCTTGGGCAAATGCTTGACAAATCTCCTTTTCCTTCCTTCTGGAAGTGGATGATAGTTACGCTTTTACCACTGCCTGGAGCTCATGTATCCTGACCAGCAACATGAGTCCTCAGGAAAAAGGCACTTGCCCATGATAGTTTTTGGGCAACCAATAGCAATCATGAAGCTTCTGAAGAAAAAGAAAACAAACTATTCCCACAATTTCATCCGGATTTGCTCCCAGGAAGGGGCTAGAGGAAGGTAAAATGCTCTCAAGATTGGAAATTGGCGTCAAACAAGTTTAGGCTAAACACCGGCCTATGTTTGCAGTTTCAAGGCTGAACTGTGGCCTACGATCATGCTTTCCTTGCAAACCGGCACTTGGTGCAGTCTCTTCTTTCAAAAACACACACACAGATCCACCAAGCAGACTGCAATTGGCCACCGTTCGCGAAAGCAATCATGACATCCAAACATAAAGAGCACAGCCAAATCGGGTCCAACTTGTCTATTTTACAATGAGGTGCTTGGAACCTCAAATGCATAGAAGCAAGGACACTCTTGGACTGAACAACATGAGGAGAGCGCAGGCATCACGAGCTTCATCCTGCGCACTCATGCGCCGATCCTTGCAGCCATGACTGCAACAGTGAGCGCCAGAGCAATCCAGATTCAGAAGCTACTACGCTGGCAAAGAACGCAGCATTACCTGACAGATCGCCGGCATGTCCGCTAGAGACGCCGTCATCGCCAAACCGCATATGTATGGAGCCATTGTCAAAGAAGTGGGGCTCCGATCCAAGGTCCGAGCTGTCTAAACCCTGAGAGCTCGTTTCAGGGGACGTCATCAACTGTGGACTCGCTGCTTCGTTCTCCCACTTCACTGCTTTCACCTCCTTCTTCTCATTCTCCTCTGTCTGCATTCCAAGAGCTGGCTCCTGCTCCATTCTGAACGGCCGCCGAGAGGTCGCTGAGCAGTTTCCTAAATTGCTAGCATTGATGGTCCCTGTCACGGGCCAGATCGGATGCTCAAGGAACAGGTTATGTGAGTAGATAAGATTGGTGTGGGATTCCTGTCTTGTCTTGGCAATCGTAATTTGGATACGAAGGCTCAGAGATTGACTCCACAGGACAGCATTTTAGCTCCTGAGACAAAACTGCAAGCAGTCTTGACTGCGACCGGCAACTCGGCTAGCCAAAGCAGAGTCGCTCGGCAGCATTCAGTGCACTACTATCTCGGATTCCTGATCGTTCTCTGGTCAGTTTATGCAGCTGAGTGTCAGGATACCAGTCCCGAGCAGCAATGCCAGCTTCAGGGTGACATTCACAGCTGACAGCTGGTCAAGACTGAACCCCTCCTCTCAGTTCCCTCCGCTCGAACGCTTGACATGCAGACAGCCAAGAGCACGCCAGATTCGACAAGAACTGATGGCACGTCCTTCCTATCCGCCGCTTTGACAGTGGCTCATTTGGGCCCCACTACAAGGCCGTCCTAATGCGTAGGTGTACCCTCCTCCTGAGCTCAAGAACGGCAAGAGAGCTGACAGAGGGGTTTCAAAATGGCGCCATGCGGAATGATGAATCCAAGCTGCTCTGCACTCCTCCAGGCTCCACCCTGCGAGGCGAGTTGGAGATTAACAGGACTATATTACCTAATTACCTGGCCGATACGCTGATACTCTCCTTCTTACGGGAATTTATGCTGTGTAGCTCTGGCACCGTCCATCGACGGTGAGCTTACATTGAAGCATCTGCAACGAGCTTGTACCGTCCATTTCGGACATGACCGGGGATCCCGCGAACGGCCTTGTGACCAGTGATTTGAGCCGTTTGGCATGCCTGCAAATTGCAATCTCCGGGTCCCGGGATCCGCGCAAGCAGCGACTGCGACAGACGATACATGAATTTCCGAGCGATGGCCGGGGCTCGGAGATCCTTAAAAGTCCGGGAGCCGGACTAATAATGGATGATAGAGCCAGTGGAACTCAGGAACACGCAGAACACGCGCGAGTCAAGGCGAGCCTGCATTCTTCATGCAAGAGTACCTAGCAATTGATCTCATCCTAAGTGAGAACTTACCATGCGGAACATGATAAGTCTATCTCTAAAAAGCTTAGGTTGTGTCGTCGTTAATTAGCCTTGCTTCAATTCACATAGGATTGCTTCTACGGCTCACAAAACTAACTACGAGGAACTTGTATACCCGTACCGGTAAAATGGTCGGTTGTGAAATGAAACCATTGATGGACTTGGTGCTAGCTAGAGTCTGTAGAGCCTAGCTAGGTACCAGCGTGGAAGGGGCACGGATCCTTCAAGTTGAAAAGCCTACGTTTCCAGCATTAGTAAGCGAAACCGCGAATCCTTTGGGTATTAAAAAGTTGGAAGACCGTCGAGATGAACTCGCACTAAATGCCAATCCTTTCAATATATACCTATTTGATATGTTCGCATGCGGCCTGGAGTTTTGGTCAAGAATGGGCATTGCAAACAAATTTCTTATAATCATGCAACGCATGCGGCCGGTAAGATTAGTGTCCCATCTTCCTAAGAAGAGTGACGTTAAGCATGATGGGCTCGAAGAGAGAATGATTGATCGAGACCAGTGAGCACTTTGATGACGGCTCACTTTGTAAAACTACTTCAAGAGGTGACCCAAACGAATCGAGTAAAAAAATGCATTTGGTTGAGAAGCTCAGGAGTCGTGGCCACCATTTGTACTATACTACGTACGTGGCCTTTCTGATCAGGCTCACCGTGACACTCCTCATTTCAAATTCACAGTAAATGGTAGGAACACGCCCAGACGCCCAAAGATGAACGAGGAAATCCGCAGAGCTACTGATCCTTGGATTGGAGCATGACGCGCGCCGGTACGGTCCCCTTTGCTAATCTGCTAAAGCACCGAAGAGATAACGTGCTCTTGAAAAAATGTGAGCATCGAGTCCTACTGTTTGTAATTATGTTGGGCCTGACATTGGGAGGTAACATGCGTGCGCACTGCTTTACCTTGAATTGCAATATATAGATATTTCATTGCGACTTTGTGCTATCAAACCTGACCGCTAAAGCGCATTAGATTCAAAGCTGAACTTCGCTGCCTTGTTACCTTATTCTGATGGTCGGGATCTTCAAATGGGTGCCCGCTTCTCTGACTCGGGCCCTACTCTACCTCCTGATCGTTCATGCGTTTCTGATAAGTGAGGGGCACTCATAGACTTTTTTGAAGACTTCAGTTCTCTTTTCTCCCTTTCAGCAACCTCCAAAGCCTCCTTTGCGTGCTTCGCATACGCTCCCCTTTCCGTGTAATCGACGCTAGGCGAAAGACTGTAGTCATCCAGATTCGTCGATTTGATGTGCTCTAGCAGCTTCTCCGGCTCTTCCGCCTTGTTTCCCTCAAATGCCGCTAACAAAGAGAGATTGAAGTTGTGATGCAAGAAGGCTACGGGTATGTCATTCGGATCGTACTTCCACGGTTCTTCGATTTCCCGAGCTACCTGCAGAGCGTACAATATCGTTGAAAGTTCGAATTTGCTGTACCTGTCCCATTCCGGTACGTCAACGAGCCCTGTTGTCGGTTTATGGATATATCCGTTCACTGGCAAGACCTCAACAGAAGAGACGCCTCTCGAGATGCAGATTGACAGCACAAGGGGCCGGTCCAGAACCGGATACTAATCAACAGAAAAGTTGCAAGGGTTTTTTTCTCGTTCCTAACAGGGACCGATGAATCGGGTCATGAAATGTCCACCAAGCCCTCCCCTCGTGTACACGATTCACCTTAAGGAGCCCGAACTGCGAAAACAGATCATACTCACCTCGTTCAAGGTGAAACACGACCACACTGCCGCAAATGTGAAGAGGACAACCTGCATGTTCCAGAAATAGCAATCAGCAGAACAATATACAGATAAGACTCGTCAGAAGCAAGCACGCACGACCCTGTTGACAACCAAAGCTATACACGTCCCCAGACAATGAGCTCTCGCTCCCTGCTTCGAAAGTGATTCAGATCACCATAACGTTGCCCTCTGCAGAAGCAACTCCGAGAACCCCGGAGATATCGAAGAAACTCACAATCCAGGTGTTGTTGAGCCAGGCGACCATCATCAATGGACACATGAGGGCTTGGAACCACAGCATCATCGTCACAGTTTGCGCGTACGGGAAAGGGAATGGAGTGTCGTTGATCTTCATCGCCTGCTCAAACGCGTTCATTCCATCTGGAAAAGAAGGCAGAAGAACGGACGGATTCGTAAGCGAGGGAAGGGAAAACCAAGTAATATAACACGATAATGTTGCGGCGCTTCACCGTAGGATTGGAGATGTGTAGTACGGCGAAGCAACCAGCTTGACCAAAAGATAGGCATCTTCTCTTGCCCACGTTACTTCGTCTCGATTCCAGGCGAACCCGGCAGCGCCGACTGCAGTTCCGTGTGTTGAATAGTGCATTAAAACATTCCTGCTTGCTTTCTACCAACTGTCTTAATAAGCATATATTGATCTTGCATAAAACTAGTTTCTGGCAAAGACAGAAAAGTCAGGCCACGTACCTTCCAGATTTTGGTGAATGCGTGTGACAATAGGTGCGGCTTCGTTTAGTCCCCCTGCTTGACGCCTGGCCGTCAGGTGCTGATGTATCCACATGAATACGCAGAAAGCTTTCGATTCGCTCTTCTCGAGGACCTTGATTTCCATTTTACTGAGGCCCCCCAGGACTGGAAGAGGTAGATTCATCCAATAGTCCCGGAAGTGGTTCATGTGGTGCCTTAGAGCACAGAGATGGCTGCACAAATACGGTTTCGTTCAGGAAGTGGAGAGACATTTCCTGAGCCTCGGCATAACTCTCAGCTTTGAAGGTTCAACTTGACAAAGGCTGGTACCCGTTTTCTTGCAACGTACACAAGATGCTGCCAGAATGGACAGTGGCAGCCGCCTTCTTCTTACTAAGCAACTGAGTAGTTTCAGGCAGACGTTGAAGACTTAGAGATACAACTATTTAAAGGCGGACGAACTTACTTATATTTCTGCCAGTTTGGTAGCTCGGCAGGATCCCTAGGGGGAGGGAAGGGGGTCACATGAAAGCTACCTGGAAAAGCGGGGAAAACGAAAAGGTAAGAGAGGGCATGTACCTCGCTGCTGGTCGGGAGTGCCTGTCTGTAAGAACAGGCATACAATTCCAGGCCTTTTGAAACCGTGGAAAACCACCAATCCAGCAAGCCACTCGCCTCAACTTTCAAGGTGTCGTTGTTGCTTCTTGGAATCAATCTGCAGTCTCACCTCTGACCAGATTTTCCAGCATCGTGTCACCTCGCAATCCCTGGAAAACCATGAATAACACGTCAACAAGGATCTCAAGCAGAAAGGAGAGTTGAATGGCAGGAAAGCTTCCAATAGTGTCACTGTCCAGAGCAACCATCAGGGGTCTGGATCACGATCTAACGGATCTATTCCAGAGATACAAGAGGAGCTTCAAAGAAAGCTTGAAGGGGACTGATCCAGCTTGTTATCAGTTGTCAACCTGTCTGCCACCTAGCTAAAGTGTCTGGTATTTTGGAGAAGAGTTGCAACCGAAGCTCACTTGCATCGCAAGTCCGTGCATCAGAGACATGAGATGGATAAACTCTGCTCTCCATTGGGGTCCAGTCGACACGGCTGAAGGTAATTCTGCCGCTTCGTCGAAAGCTATTGCTTCAGCAACAGCTCCAAGCCATCTGCTCCTGTGGCCATAGAGAAGGAGGCATATAAGCTGATCCAGAGAAGCAAATGTTAGGCCAACCGTACATCTGCAACAATCAGATGGTTTTGACTCTTGCAAGTCAAAAGCCGAAAGCATACTCCATACCATCAAAGCAGTTGAGGTTATTGTCCTAAATATTCTCAGCAGTGTGAGGAGATCTCAACAGCACAACTTTTGATGGATTTCAGCACCTCAGCAAACATATGACGATTGCTGAGACTCGCTGTGTCCTGCTCTGCCACTCACGTCATGTCTTGTACGCGCGTCCTAGCTTCCCAGTATCTTGCATGGCTGAGGTTGATGCGGAAAACAAGAACAAATCCCACAACAGAGGCAAAGATTCCAACTGCGGAGAAAGAGCATAGTTAGATCGTAATTTTCTCTCCTTCCTCACCATGTTTCACAAGATGCATTGTTGCAGACGAGAGAAGTGCATATAAGCTTCATAGATTTCAGCAACCTGCCCCCTTCAAAGATCACCATAGCCAGTGCTTGCGATCAATGCAGACAGGGGCTCTTTCGGCTCACATGGCAGCGGATGAAGAAACCACCCTCTCACTTCGTTCTTGGCAAAAAGATCAAGGAAGATAGCCAGAAGGGCGCTGGGGAGAGCTAGAGGAAAGGCTCTTGGCAAAGGGCTTCCGCTGCAGCAACAGACACCACACTTGTTAAGCTGATTGCAGAAATTAGTTGAGCAGGAAGCAAATCTACTCCAAGGGATACTTGAGGACTGATCCTGATTGAAAACAACCAGCTTTGGAAGCCAGATGCCCAAAAGCATGGCCAATGAGCTGCACTACGTTCAATGCACGTTTGCTGTAATCTTTCAAAAAAGTGCACCACCACCTTCAGGGTTTAACTTGGCACCAAGATTCATGATGCGAGGAGAAGTTTGTTCTTTCTTTGAAGTGGTGGCAGTACCCCACCCTCTCTTGAAATTCAGACTTACTAGATTCTGAAGAGAAGGTTGATGCCACCCACGCCTTTCTTGTAGACAATCATCCTGCACTTGGTCCTTTGCAGGAAAGGGCAGCTTTGTTATTCAGTTCCATTCATAAGCAGATCCTCCGACCATGTTTCATGTCAAGCTCATATATGAGCCGGCAGCTGCATTTCATATGAACCAACTTTGGTACTTGCTCAGAGCATAAGAGACTGCAGACCTCAGCTGCAAGTTGCTGACAACGCTGCGCCGTGACTGTCGCATCAATGGCCTTCACTTTGGTCATTGACCAACAATACTGCACAAGCGGAGACCTCATATACCTTGCACGCTCCAGGCTCCATGGCCAGGCCGCCGGCCCAGGCGTATAGCGCGCATTCGCAATATTGACCCTTTACGCTGAAGTCCACGCTGGCTGCCATGTGAACCAAGGGGCCAAATCGTGGCCGTTCATCGGAGACTGACAAGCTGCAGTGCGCGTACATATGCCATCATTTGCCAAGTGGCATCGTGTGGAGCAGGTGAGCAGCCATGTGGCGAGGATCTGTTGCCCTGCAAGGATCGTTAATAAACCGTAAGTTACCATCGTTAAGTAGGTATATATTATCACGCAGCCTTGTCGGCTCCAGAGTCCTCGCTCCTGAGTCGATCTCTCTGCAAATCAATGAACCACAATTTTACGCTCAAACTGTTCCACACGAGGCATGGTGTTATTGCACGATCCGACCGTTTTACCGGTACGGATAGGGGTTGTGTCGATGGTTCTCATCTTATGCTCCTACAGGTCCCCAAAAGAGCATAGGACTACCATAAGCAACTCGAGGCGTATACGCCGAATTCTATCTCTAGAGGCAAGTTATCTCTAGAGGCATGCCGGCAAAACCGCCAGGGACAATCTATATTAGCAGCATGCCTCGTATCGTATTTAGGTCAGGAGCTCAATCGAGAATGCAATTAATCCAGCCTGCCAAGCATGTGTGCTCGCAAAAATTGCAATATTGGATGACGGTTGCGACCGCCGCGCGGCACCGTTGGTTGCAGCAAGTTCGTCATGCAGTTGACGGTCGCTTGACAAGGTAAGACATTGACAGAATCGTCTGAGATTGCATGCACCCGGTGCTACATGCTGTAACAATATGTACACTCGAAAGTTTCTTTGGTAATGAATATAATACAGGTACGACCCAGATGCATGCCCTCATCAAGAATACGCTTCGGAAGTGCTGGTACGCATACCTGCATGATCTGGAGGAGCGGTTTAACCGGCAAGTGACTGCGGGTGACCAGCCTGCTGGGAGAAGATTTATGCTTGTACAGACTAGCACTAGAACACATTATACCAAATAGGAAAATGCACCAAGGCCAGCCACCCGTGTTGGAAGAAGCTGGTGTCACCACAGATGGCGGAAAGTCCGTTGCATCCATAAACATAAACGGACGAACCGTCCGGACCTTTTATAATAAGCCAGCACAACGGAAATTGAGTGCCAAGACTAGGCACGTCATCTCCGTGCGAGTTTCGAGAGTTTTGAATGTATACTACCACGGGCTTTGCTTCGATCACTATGCCCCAACGCTTTCTTGCGTGTTGGAACATCACCAGCTTTGAGCTCAAGCGTTGTGCGGCTCTTCTTGGCTGCACGGAGAGAGCAAGACGCTTCAGCATGGTTGCAACTTGTTAGAGCTGAGAAAACCCGATACAAAGTTTGAGCCGCGCTTTATTGTCGACTCGCAAAGAGCATACTCGGAAGGAACATGTGATGGACTCCTGCCTTCACATCGTGGTTTCCAACTCAAAGCTGGTTTCTACAGCGCCGTAGATATGCTGCAGGTACGATCTTTGCAGATGCCTGCTTGTCTCAGTGGCGAGCGACATCGATTCAAGATTCACAAATGCAGCTCACCATTCTCTGCCTGGAGGTACTTCTCGTGAAGGCGTCGCTTCGTCTCCTCGAGCTTGTTGGCCGGTTCCATCAGCAAGTCCCCCATCTGCCAAACGATGTATTACCATCAGGAGACTTAAAGCGTGTACGACTGCTCGCCAATGAAGCAATCAGATGGCAGGACAAACGTGGGGCCTCAGGAAATCTGGCTCTTCCTTCGAAGACGAGCACTAGGGGCAAGAAATGCAAGAGCCTCCCTTTGAGAATTCAACAAGCAATCAAACAATATTCAAGGGGTTCTTGAAGTGGCTTTACGGAAGCACGAACGTATAACGCACGAAGCAGGATGCTCTGTAGCTGGGCAGGCTTCACAATTCTATGAGGATCCGTGACAAGGATTGTCCGCAGCCCGGAACGTTCCAGCCACAGCAGTCCACACCCGGGCCAAACAAGATTCATATTTCTGATCATAAGACCTTAAAATGAGTGAGCTTGACGCGATATGAGGCAGCAATTAATGTTCCTGACCTCCTCAGAGTCGCTGTCGCTCAAAAAGCCGTCCTCCTCCTCGAGCCCCGTCTCCGGCTCGGACCCGGAGTTCGAACCAACCGGGGTTCTGCTCTTGCCGACGTCAGCAGCCGAGGTGGCCCGCCTAGCAGGCGCGCCGTCGGGCGTTCGCACCGACTGTTTTCTAGCCCTCGGAAGCGGGTCCAACTCGTCGAACAGGTCGTCATCCGACGCCGATTCGAGTCCCGGCGTTTTCTTTGGCTTTCCTACGGCTGGCTTTCGAGCTTCCGAGACCCCTCCCGCATGGAAGTGTCTCTCCCGCCCTTTCTCCCCGTTCGCGTGGTTCGCCTGGGACCCGACAACCGGTTGCTCGACCCCGCTCTGTTGTTTTGGTGGGGGGTCGCGCATCTCCGGGTTTCTTCGGGGGGGCGCCGTCGCCCGCTTTGCCGTATCGTTGAACTGCAGAAAGTTGTTCGCGCTGTGCGGCTTGGGAAGGGGCTTCTGGCCATCCGCCGAGTGCGACACGGGTCGCACGGGCGTCCGAACCGGGCTGAGACTGGGACGGCCCAATTTCACGGGCAGCTCCGGCGTTCCACTGCGAGGCCGTTCGCCCGGCTTGCCCGGTTGCCTGCCACCCAACTGCGAGCCCGGTGCTCCTGTCGCTTGTACAACGCCTGGTGGCTTACTACTCGAAGCCCGGGCAGGGTTCGAACCGTGTCCCGAGCTCTGCACGGCTGCCTCGGGGGTCTTACTCCGGGCCCTGTCTTGGCCCAATCTCAAATCCCCGCTTGCTTTCGAAGAGCTCCCGGGCGGCTGAGCAGACGGAGCCCCTCGCTCCGACGCGCTCTTGACGTCCGCCTTCGCTCCGGTGCCCAAGCTTTCCGTCCTATGCCCATCAGGCCCGGACCCTTCTCCCACGCGCGCTTTCTTCGCTGGCCCTTCCCCCTCACCAAAAACATCAGTTTCTTTTAAACTGCGCGCCCGCTTCGGCGTGTCCCCCGACGCCACGACACCACTGCTTCGTTCCGACCTTTCTCCCGCACTCTCTTTCTTTTCTACTTCGGCGCTTACGAAGTCGCCCCTCCCCAAAGATTGACCCCTCAATCCACCGCCCCCCTCGGGAACGCCATTAAGCTTGGCTGCCTGTTGCCACTTCTCCGCAGCAGCCTTTTCCCGTGTTTCCTTGTCAGTAGACACTCCGCTCGGTTCGGAAGCAGCAGAGGCAGGGTTGGTCGCAGCTTCAAAATCGCTGTCGCGAGAGGCAGGAGGCCGGGGGTCATATACCGGGCTAAGGAAGGCCAGCCTACTGTTCACCGGGGCAGAGCCGGGGGTTACGGTGGAAGAGAGCTTTTCCAAACCGGCCGCTGCAGCAGACAAACGTGCGTCAATTCTCGACCAGCAACGCTGTCCAACGCTTTGTGTAGTGTCTGAGTTGGTCAACTTGCAGGTCCAGCTGAGCTGGCTCCGCCAGACCACGGCCAGTTCTCACAATTAAGGGAGAGTTTCAAAAGGGGGTAGGAAGGAGAATGACAAGCAGGACAATCTTGTGAACAAACCGGCACTTGCTACCAGAAGAAAACTTGAGAGAGTGGAAGGACAGAAAACAATCGGAAGTCAAGGTGCATATTTAAGCGCCTGCTCCTATTACGGCTGTCCCCTCGAGTGGAACCGATTAGACCATTCCGACAAGGTTCGTGCAGCAACGTAGTGTTTTGTTACAAGCGAATCTTCTTGACCGTCACCGCTTCTATGATCCGTGATGACAGCAACATTGCTGGGGTTGAGTTCGCACGCAGAGCAATCAAACAACTGAGACTTTCTGCTTAAAGCTAGCCAGGTTCGTTTAGGATAACATAAGCGCTCTTCAGCCAAGCGCAAAAGGACAAAGGGATTCAACAAAGGGGGTCCCGACAATTTCGCAAGAAGGACATGTTCAGTGCGACTGGCGAACTTACCGAGGTCCTCTGCAGTGAAGTCCTCTAGCAGCTGAGACAACTCAGCAGACGTATTTCTAGAAGCGAGAGTGGCCGCATCCAGAGGGGGGGCCTCGAGACCTCCCTCTATGGCAATGGAATCTGTCAAACGGACAAAATACGTGAGTACAAGCGTGTGTACAAGGAGAGGGCGCCTCCAAAAATAAATAGTCACAAAATCTGCAGACGCCAAATCTCTCCGAGAGCAATTGGATCCATGGCTGAGAACGTTCGGCTAATCAGACGGTCTTAACAATGTATCAGCAAAAAAGAGACTTTCTTAACCTGACAATAGTAGTCAAGTATTTGAACCTGGTAAGATCGCAGGTCACTCTGGGATGTTTGAAAGCACTGAACTCAAAAGCGGTTTACTTCATGGCTGTAACTGGTGGAAACAGCCACGTTTGGACATGCTTACCTGTGGACGACTTCTTGCTTATTTCATTTGTGACAGCCTGGAAATCTTCCACAAGTTCTTTCCATGACCTGGGAGGACAAACGACCGCCCAAATTTCAGCGATCATGAGGTGGAGAAACCGGCTGTCTGCATTCTGTATCCCAATAATGTTGACTCGCCAAGTTCTTGCAATCTTGATTCAAACTCGGCAGATAAGATGATCGCAAACAAGGGCATGCCAAGAGAACTTACTTGACAAGGTGCTTAGCCTTGATTTGCACAGGTTTTGCCGGGTGTTTGCGGAGACTGCTGATTGTTTTCCCAATTTCAGTAGCCTACAAAATACAAGTGGCTGGTCAGGCAGGATCATGAGTGGAACTTTCAAAGCCAACCTGATTGAATTTGTGATGACAAACAGGCAAAGAGTCCATTAATAAGTACAAGGTCTGATCACCTGAATAGGTGACTCTTCCTCAGAACATGCAAAAAACCTTTCAAAACAAACTTCCTTCATTGACTTACTTTCAGCTCCTCCACAGTAATGTTCATCCTCTCCAGTGACGCCATCGCTTGCAAAATGGCCTCTTCTGACTGCACGACAGGTGGACAGCTCAATTTGCAACAGAACACATTTTGCAATCAGTGCCCCAACCTCATACTCCCCCAGCATCAAAACAAACCCTGGAGTATGTGTGAACCAGGACTTACAAGTGCCGCACGACTGCAGCTAAAAAAAGTGTCTCAAACAAAGAAACAACCCTCACCTTGTTTGGAGCTGAAAGTTTCGACCTTGACAGCAGGATCTCCTGCATTCTTAGGCTGTCTTGTTCAATGGCAACCTGCAACTCTTCTTCATCAGCATAGCCAGTTCGTGAAGATACATCAACATCTCCTCTTCTAGCTGCCCCCAGAGAGGTCACCTTTTGGTGAGCTTTCTCCCCTCTTGGTGATGCAGTAGTCTGCACTGGTTGTTGACTCCCGTTCACGACTGTGTCTGTCTCAGCTGCGTCACTTTGTAATGCCGAAGGGTTTATTCGCTTGGAAGGGGCCGTCGACGTGTCAACACCATCTACAAACCCCTCCCTCTGGGCCAGTGCTTGTACACCTGCGCCCTCTTCAACACTAGTACAACCTGCTTCAGGAACAACGGCAACCGCGCTCAATCTGTACATCTGTTCAACAATGCCGTCTCGCCTCTTTCTCAGCTCGGACACCTCATCTTCCGCTGCAACTTCAATTGCTTTTGCAATGATGGCCCAGATGTCATGCCCGCTGGCCGCAAAGAAGCTCCGCCAGGCAAACTTGGGGGTTTTGTTCCTGGCCATGTTCTCCGGAATGCAAGAAGAAAACTTTGCCAGCTGCACGAGCAGCCGTTTGATTGCTGCTCTCTCCTCCCTCGAATTGGCCTCTAGGAGATCATTCCAATGCTGCCTTGGCGCTGTTGCTGGAGCTCAGTGAAGATTCTGCTTTTCGTAATGCCCACATACCGAACATGTGAACTGTCTTCTGCTGCATTCCAACCACTTGTAAACTTGCTTTATGGGGCTCCTCACCCTAGTTCGGAAGCGTTCTGTGGATGCCTTGGCCACGTAAACGACATCGTACCGTTTATTGAAACTTTGATTGAATATCGAACGGTAGCAAAACTTACTTTGATCCACATGGCTACCAGGCAGGTACAGCCTAATTCAGATCAGTCAAACCAGAGATACAAACAACCCTAAAATCCAAGTCCCAGCCTGCACGGCTGCATTTCAGATTCTGCTTCTGCATTCTGCCTCCCTCCTTCATTCTGCTTAGCCGGCGCCATTGAGCCTTTTGCTTCCTTTGCTGGCTCTTGAGTGCGTTCCCACGAAGCTTTAAGACTGAAGGCAGGTATCTGCTCGCAAGCGACAAGCGGTAAAGATGGCGTCTTCTGTAGCGCACTTGGTACAAGGTGTTCCCTGGACGGGCCTTGCGCCCTCGCAAGCCCAGGCTGCAGAAAGCAGACTAAGCAGGGCAGCGGTGTGCTGTCGTAGTCAACATGCACAACCTACACGTATCAAAGGTGGGCCTGGTCTCCCTACTTGAGTCTGAGCTGATGGATGTTCAAAGCTACGAGCTGTCGGCGCAAGACCAGATTGCAAAGAATTTAGATCTATACGAGCACATGGTCACATATGAACCACAAGAATTTCTGGTAAGAGTGTGGGTTTACTTCTATGATGTCTTGACTGAAAGGCGCTGCCAAACTGAGATGGAGCCCTCGCAGCACCCGAATCACAGTCGAAGGGGATGTTGATGAGAACCTGCCAGACCTTGGGCGCTTGATGGTCAGCTTGACTGATGAGCACTTTGCTGGTTTCGTGCTGAACGGTCTTACGAAGACCGTCCTTTCCACAGCGAAATGCTGGACATTTCTATGCACAGCGCTCTAGATGTGATAAGTAGAGAGATCCATCAGCACCTTCTATCAAAATGCATCACAAGATCACGCTGAAAGTTGTGTTAGGATTTGACTGACTAAGAGTCACCAAGACAGTGTCAACTAATCTGGAGACGGCGAAGCATTCCCATGAATTTGCTGCTTTTGGGACTGGGAATACAGTAGACCTGTTCGCTGAAAAGTGAATCTTGAGAAGCGCTGTGATGTCGCCGAGATGCCTTCACCAGTGTTCTGAGTTACAAAGGTCCGGAAGTTATGCATATGCCTCCGTTCCTCAAACATATCTGCTCGCAAGTCTGCGTAAGTGGTAGGCAATACTTTCAGCATTACTTTGCTCCATCAGCGGTGCCGGAAAGCAGATTGGTTGGTCATTGCTTCTCCTGCCTCTGAGGGCAGATTTTTGGCTGCAAGTATAGCGAGTCTCATCCTTGATGTCATTTGTCTCAGCTTTCGTACATTCCCTTGGCGTTAAGTCTTTGTTTGCAACTTGCCGAAAGCAGAAGGTGAAAGGCCAAGGTGGCGGGTCCTTTGCGAAGAGTGGCGGACATTTCAATATGCACCGTGGCCCGCTTGGATCAGAAAACATCGCTCTATAAAGAGCAATGAACAAACGCATGTTCTGCCCTCACGACCACCATCAACTTAGAACATTAGACGTTACACTGATCTGAGCTTCTGTAAGGCACTCCTGACCGCAGCGCTTACACATTTACTTCAAAAACTGAAAATACATGCTGCTCTTAGCCTTCGTAGCAAGCCCCTGACATTGACATTTACTCCCTCCCAGGCACAAGCTCCCTGACCTCCTCCTTCGCCACCCCCGCCCCCTCCCTCCTCCCCCCCTCTTTCATCGGGTCCGCCGCCGTCTTCGCCATGCCCTCTTCCTCCACCTTCCAAGGCGCACGGAAGGGCGCCATCGCCATGGGCGCAGGGATCCAGTTCATCCGGGGGGTCAATGAGGCCGTTGTTCCGGACGTCAAGTTGACGCGGTCGAAAGACGGAAGCTCGGGGACGGCCCTGTTTGTGTTTGAGCAGCCGACCGTGTTTGAGTCGGCGTCGGAGTTGGGGGAGATCACGGGGTTGTATCTAGTGGACGACGAGGGCGTGTTGCAGGTGAGCCGTTTTGCGGACACTCGGAGCGCGTCAACTTTGTGATTGGAGCAAAGAAAGAGCTCTTTTGTCTGAGCTTGTCTTTTCCATTCCCCATGTAAAGCCTTTCTTAGCGGAAAGGCAGGCTTCCGATTGCGTCACCAGGAAATAACTCGGAGGAAGGGTGCTGTTCGCACATGAAGTCCAGAGGAATTATCCTGTGTGACAGAAGTGCACTCGCATTGCGGACTGAAGCTTGCGCAAACCCAATTGGTGCCAGTTTGAAGGTTGGAATTTTAACGATTTGCTTCTTCAGTCTCCAAGTATTAAGCCTCAATGGCCACTGAACCTTTCTGTGGAAGCGAAGCGGTGGTGGCGTTTGACCCAGCTTGCAGTCTCTTTACATACAAGATTCCCTGCATGACAATAGACATTCAGGAGAGTCCTTTTCTGCCCCCATTCATTAGTCAAGCAGGGATGCTGGGAGGGGGTTGGCATTGCTAGCCCCTTTGGTGCGTCCGGTCTAGATATCCAAATACAGGGTCCAAGGTTTGCCTTTGTTCCTCATCAAGAATTACAGGCAGATTCTTTACAGCCAAAGATATCCAAGAATTTTTTTCGAACTTCGGTGTGAGCGACTTGGAAAGATGCCTTGTCGACAGAGCGACTTGGAAAGATGCCTTGTCGACAGAGCATTCAGAAGGCTGTAAGTCTACTCAAACTGAAAATTGATCCCCATTTGGTCCTTCATTCCGCTCGCTCCTTTGCAGTCCGTTGACGTGAGTGCGAAGTTCGTGAATGGAAAGCCGGCCAACATTGAGGCGAAGTATACAATGAGGAGCGGGAAGGACTGGGACAGGTTCATGAGGTTCATGGAAAGGTATGCTACAGAGAACAACTTAGGCTTTAAGAAAAGCTCGTAGAAATGAACGTCGGGCCCACAGTTTTGACACTGTCTTGGCTTACGAGATTTGCCGTCATTGAGTGACCCTGTACTAACCTTTGCTTTTGCTGGATTCAGCTCGTATTCGTTCAAGTTGAGGCCATTCGGTTCGATGCATTTTTGCTCATGCACATGGTCAATATGGTAGGTCCAATAGACATGCCGTGCAGGAATGAAATGCACTGAGTGCATGCCAGTACGGTGGACCATGAACCGCCCAATGCAGTACTCATTAATATCATCTGTATTGCGTGTCGTATCATGGCTACGTCTTTGGACGTACCTACATGCATGATGTGATACTGAGACATACTTGGCGCTCCCATCATGGCATGCTTAAGTCTCGTGTCAAATCATTGGTGAGTCGACAGCACATGTGCCGGCTGGTGTACGTACGTGGCAGGATCATGCACGGCATGTCTGGTACGTGATTGAATATCTAGCTGCATATGAGTCGATCAGTGATTCATGAAATAGTTGTATTTTATATGAAGCACTTATTATATCGTGCTCAGTAAGCGACGATGCCGCGGCCTGGCGCCCGTCTACCAGCTCACTCCAGCATGTAACGGTATAACGGTTCAACAACGGTTGCCAGCTGATTATGATCCTCAGTTATCCACTCAATCACGACGGTACGAGCTTACATAATGCAGCGGCAGACGATCGTTCTTTACTTTAAGCAACCGGTACGTCATCGAGAATCTAATTGCCATAGGATGCACAAAGGATCGCGTTTTCCTCTACGTGGCCGTCGCGGAAGCATGTCGAAGTCGTCAAAATGCTGCCGCCGCAACGGACGAAAGATCATGGATGCAATTCCGTCTCAACCACCTTATGTGATCGACCGCGCTTACACTGCAGGTTAATTTCCTACAAAGTCGATTTTCCCACGATGTCAGTCTTTCTACAAACCATGCCGACAACAATATTATCGAAACCGTCCAATCAAAGTCTCTGTTCCTAGGATGGCCTGAGAAGCTACGGCCTTGGAGATATAGTCAGCATTCATGGTTCCTGCCCGATCGTTATAAAATGTTATAAGAGACTCCCTCGCGCATCCAGCACACTATTCTCCTCGGGCTAGCAGTATATCATCCACCCAGACATACCTTACCCGGGCCCGGCGCCACAGCGCCAGTTTATCCCGTCAAGGAGGACAGCGGCCTGTTCTACCGGCACCAACACCGCGTGTCCCCTCGGGGTACTGTTGAGCATAAGCCACTCTGAAATCACCACTGGCAGAACCAATCACTTTGTACACATACTTTAGCATACATTACCGGGCATCCGCATCCACCTTAGAACCCAACCGGCGCCCGCAGCCGCCACGTGCCATCCAATTCACGCCGCGCGGATGACGTGGCCGTTGGCCCTCTCTTGGGCGCCCACGTTCTTGCTGGGGCTCAGCACGTTCTTCCTCTCGGGGCTGGCCACGACCCCGTTCGCCTTTCCGTTCATCCCCCCCTTGCCGGAAAAGTTCACGAAGTACCCGTTCTCCTTGCTGTTCTCGTCGGTCTCGTTCACTGGGATCGTGAATTTGATCGGCTTCAGGGGGCTCGCCGCCAGGGGGCTGTTCTTCGTGGGCGTGCGGCTGTTGGAGAAGCGGCGCGTGCGCGCGAGCGCCTCGCGGCGCTCGGACGCGACGGTCAGCCGCGACTCGAGCTTCTGCGCCAGGTGCGAGCGCGCATTCTCGTCGTTGGCCTGCGGGAAGGCAGGGAGGAGCAGTCAGGACCGGAGAGAGACGGAGATCATGATTGGATGAGATACAGAAATGAGGTACACGGACGGCAAACTCCGCCCGAAATTTCGCCAAAAAAGAGAGGAAGGAAAGTGGCATAACAATTCGTGCGCAGTCCCGTCATCGGGTTGCGGGTCGCCCGCGTAATCGACCGGTAGGATTATGAGCAGGGATTCTGAGAGCGATGGTAAAGATGGACGAATCTCCGTGCGCGACTTCAGGTCTTCAGGTCGTTAGCCTGCCGGTAGTTGGATTAGTGGTCGTAGATTAGGAAGATCGAGAAGAGATGTATTGTTAAATGAGAAGGGGACCCTTGTCTTTTCTAGTTCAGACGTCGGTGATCGCGTTCAAAGGGCTTTCTTTTTCTTTCCCTTACGGGTTTCATGACATCTCAGGCATTTGACAAAGGCAACTTGAAGGAACGGACGAGCTTTCCGAACGAGCGACACAGAGACGTGTGCTAAGCTTTACGATCCCGGCGTGGAACCATCCCACTTCATAGGGGTTGCGCACGCGGCTTCTGCGGTCCCTCTCTGCACATTGGCGACCCACTCCCTGCTCACCTTTTGCGCGGCGACCACGTTCCTGTGGCGCTTGATGACGGAGGCCGCCTTCTTCTTGGTCTCGCTGAGCACCTCGAGGCGCTTGGCCTCGGCGGCCTCCTGCGCCTGCTCAATCTTGGCGGCCAGGTCGAGCGCCTTCATCTGGGACGACGCCTCCACCACCTGCAGCCGGTCGCGCGGCGTGCTGGCCCCGCTGCTGCGGCGGGACTCCAGGATGGCCTGGCGGAAATGGGATAGCGTATTTCATCAGCGATACCTTATTACATCAGGGATAAGGTGTGGAGTAGGAAACGGTTTTAGTCAGTAGGTAGATGAAAAAGCAGCTGGCCCCGCTGCTGCGGCGGGACTCCAGGATCGCCTGGCGGGAAGGGGATAGCGTATCGCATCAAGGGAGAAATGTTATTGCATCATGGATAAAATTAGAAACGGTACGAGAGGTTTAGCGTACAGCTGGACCCACTGCTGCGGCGGGACTTGAGGATGGCCAGGCGGAAGGGGGGGCCAGCGTATTACATCATGGGGATAGCTTATCAGGAATAAGGTATGCCGAGATTGGGAACGGGATGGTAAGTTGGTGGACGGAAATGTAGCTCGTCCCCTCCTGAGGCGACACTACAAGATTCGCCGCGAGAGTGATAAGATGATGAATCAGGATCGGACTGTTAAGACAAACCTACTGGGAATGTTCTTCAATGGAACAGGCCTTCGCTACTGGTCCTCGTTTAGACGGCATGATTGAATTTTATAAGATCAATTAGTGCCACGCCAGAGGCACGCGACGTATGGATTTTGTGCGAGCTTGTCAATCTTGCGGTTTCAAAGCTCCGACGCCATTCCTTGGCTTATCTCTGCAGAGACTGTCGGCCCCCGCGCTCGAGCAGGGCGAACTTCGCAATCCGGGTTGCTTCTTGGTTTTTTCTCTCCTCACCACTCAAGGAAAAAACTCGATTTACCAAGCGTTCCGCTTAACACTGCTCGTGGAAGAATGCAAACCATCCGCCAATCCGCCCCAAGCATTCACCCTCCTTAATTTGAAGTCAGTCAAACACACACTCTGTCTCACTCCCCCTCACCTGTCGCTGCGCCTCGGCGGCCTCCAGCTTGGCCTCGATGCTGTGCGCGAGCGCCTCCTTCTTCATCTTCTGCGCACTCAGCACCAGCTCGCACCGCTCCGACACGGCGCGCGCGCGCTGCTTGGTCGCCTCCAGCGCGTCCTCGCGGTTCGCCTCCGCGGCCTCCTGGTTCGCCTCCAGCCTGAGAACGGGTCAAGAATTGGGTTTGTGACTCACGATTCAAGGGTTGGATTGGTTCGTAGGAGTTCAAGGCATTGGTTAGTTGGTAACGCATTAAGGGCCGCGTTGTGACAGAGTATCCGGCTTGAAAGGTTACTGCTGGGGAGTTGTGATTTCGCCTCCAGCCTGAGAAAGAGTCCGGCTTGTTGGTAATCGCGACAGGTAAAGACTAACGTAGGAAAGAAACCTGAATGTAAGCATCCTCGCGGGTCATTTCTGGGGCTTCCTGAGTCGCCTCTAGCCCGGGAATAAGGGCCAGCTTAGCAACTAATACAAATGGTAGATTAGATTTGCGCTCCTGACAAGATATACGAGGCAGAGCCCCGTCCCGAGGACCAGAACCAAATCCTAAAAGAACAAACCCTCCTCCCCCCCGGTAGGTCATGTAGAGCCTCTCCTCCGGCTTTCGTGTACAGCCCTTAGAAAGAAACTGGTGCTCCCAAAGGAGAAAGCCATAAGAAGGCCCGGAAAACACAAACGAGTAACACTTCGACTCACCTGTAGGCCATGCAGAGCTTCTCCTCGCGCCTATCCCATAAGCAGCTTGGTGCTTCCTAAACGACGCTCATAAGAAGGTTAAGCCTGGTTTGAAGCAGAACCCAAATTCCCCGCCTCACTTGCAGGCCGTGAGAGCATCTCCTCGCGCTTCCTCCTGTACGCGGCTTGCAAGCAACCGGTGCCCCCTAAAACGAAACCCATAGCAAAATCGCCCCACTCCGAAACCAGAACCAAAACCTGGAAACACAACGGCACACCCTTCCCTGTAGGCCATATAGAGCTTCTCCTTGTGCTCTCCTGAACGCCGCAGCTTGCAAGTAACCGGTGCTTTTTGAGAAGAAAGATAATACAAAACAGAACCAAACCCTCGAAACAAACACTCAAAGTACACCCTCCGCCTCACCTGTAGGCCATGTAGAGCTTCACCTCGCGCTATCAAGTAAGCATCGTGGTGCTCCTTATAAGAAAGTCAAGAAAGAACACACCCCATTCCTCAAGCTGAACCGAAACCCTCCGCCCCACCTGTAGGCCATGTAGAGCTTCTCCTCGCGCTTGATCTGCGCGACGCGCTCCGCGCGCTCGACGACCTCGGTGGCGCGGCCGCGCACCTCGTCCAGGTAGAGCGAGCGCCGGATGTCCGCGATCTCCTGCTTCTGCTCCAGCCACACCGCCAGGTCGGCGGCGTGCTCCAGCTGGTTGGCCAGCACCATCTCGTGCCGCATCACCGTCGCATGGGCCTTGGCGCTGGAAGGTAGCAAATGTTTCATAAGTCAGAACGAATTTGGCGGCCAGGTGAAATCGAAAGCGTGAAATCTGACCGCTTGTAGTGTCTACAGGTTGGTGATCCTTGCCATCTCGTGCCGCATCACCGTCGCATGCGCCTTCGCGCTGAAAAGGGGGAATGAGACGATGTTTCAGTCGGAATCGAGGTTGCTTAATTTTGATCATATGTATTAGTGTGGAGGTTTACTCTGGTCGTCCGTAAGAGGGTTTGTTGGCCAGCACCATCTCGTGCCGCATTACCGTCGCGTGCGCCTTGGCGCTGGAAGGAAAAGACGGTTCACAAGTCAGTATGAAGCCTGGCGGCCAGGTTTACAGGTTGGACTGCTCTAAGTGAAATCGATGGCGTGAAATGGGACCGCTCGTAGTGTCTACAGATCGGTTGCCAGCATCATCTCGTGCCGCATCACCGTCGCATGCGCCTTGGCGCTGAAAGCGGGACCGGAATGCAATTTTTAGTCCAGAAACAAGAAAGGAAACACTGACTCAGCCTAGTTTCGGAAATGGATCGAGTGTTTGATCGAATTTCAGTCGGCCTGATGGTCTTGGAGTCTCCGTTCTGCTGAGCTTGGATAGTTGACATCGTCTCGTGCGGCATCATCGTCGCAGTTACGTCAACGCTGGAAGGGATAGGTGGCAAGGAAGTTCACTCGGAGGTGAGGTGTTTAAGACAACTTTTAGGGAGCAAGTTCTTCGGCTGCCACCAACTCCTGCTGCAGCACCGTCGCGTGCGCCTTGGCGCTGGCACAGGGAGCCAAAGGGATGTTTAGTCCAATTTAAGGGAAGGAAACAATGATTCAGCGCATTCTTGAAAGTGGATTGAGGGTTCGAGCCGGCGTGATGGCTCTAGAGGTTCCGTTCCGGTGAGCTTTGATAGTTGACATCGTCTCGTGCGGCATCATTCGTCGCAGTTACGTCAACGCTGGAAGGGGCAATTGGCAAGTAAATTCACTCGGAGGTGAGTTGTTTTGAGACAAATCTTAGAGAGCAGGTACTTTGGTGGACACCATCTCGTGCCGCATCACCGTTACGCCCGCCTTGGCGCTGGAACGGGGAGCGAAACGGTACTTAAGTCGGGTTGAGGTGGTTAAGTTTTACCGTTCGTGATTGAGGTGCTCTGAGTTGGCCGACCGTGAGAAGGTTTGTTGGTCCGCCTCATCTCGCAGCGCCGTCGCGTGCGCTTTGGTGCTGAAGAAAGGGCAACGAGATAATAGTAAGTGGGAGAGCGGAACAATTGTGATTAGCACTCGCATCCTCACCGGACGATGGCGAGGTGGTGCTGCTGCGCGATGATGTGGTCGATGAGGTCCTCCTCGAGGAGCGCCGCGCGGATGAGCGCGCTCTCCTTGTTGTACTGCAGCACCGCGCGGTGGTTCGCCACCACCGCGTGCGCGCGGCCCTTGATGGCCGCCAGGTGGCCGGCGCGCCGGATCTTGTGCAGCAACAGGTCCTGGAAACACGGGTTTGAGGTGTTGACCGTGGTGTTAAGCGGGTGGATCCTGAAAACACGGGGTTTTGGATAGTTGACCATGGTATTAAGGAGGTGGCCGGCGCGCCGGATTTTGTGCAGCAGAAGGTCCTAAAAACCGTGGGGTTTGGGAGGGAGTCAGCCAAAGTGCTAACTAGGCGCTGAAAAGTATGGTTTGGCGGGGTTAACCACTGTGCTGATCATGGTGCTAAGAGCGGTTTCGGGCGTTTCTCCGTACGCTTGTCTGCAAAATCTTGAGGACATAAGGTGTGCTCCAAAAAGGTCCTGGAAAGCATGGTCTGGGGAGTTAACCATGGTGTTAACCAGGGTGTTCATGTAGGCTGGTCTCGCAGGTGCTGGCTCGAGTGCCGGATCTGATGCAGCAGAAGGTCCTGGAACCGCTGGGTTTGGGGATGTTAACCATGGTTCGAATACGGTGCTGAAATGGAACATAGTCTTTCTGCAGCTAGTCTTGCAATGCTGGCTGAGTGCCGGGTATTGTGCAGCAAAAGGTCCTGCACCAAGCCGCATAGCTGTCGTAGACAAGCACGTCTTCTTTGGCAGCAATGTCTTGACCATTACTTGGTCGAGAAGCGTACCGCACCCGACTGGAAAGCTGAGTGCACATGAGAGGCAAGCTGGTGTCTGACATGCCCCTAGCATCTGCAAGTCGCTCAAGTGCGAGTATCTCCATATACATTCGAAAAGACCTGGCGGGAATGTGCGTAACTTGGGCAGTTTATGACGGCAGAGAACATGCGCAGCCAAAGCGAACGGCCTGAGACAAGGAAGGTGGTGTGAAAGACCGTGTATGACTATATTTGTGAGATCGATCTCAATAACTCCCTACTTGACGCACTCTCTTTAAGTATTTCAGAAGTCGTGCAGCTCCATGACTTTTCGAAAATACCACGAGGTACAAGAGAAGGTCATTCTGATGTCCTCGCCTCTTCTTCCGAAGCAAAAGTTATGTTCCGATGTATGCAACACGAATTTCGAATACTGAAAGGATGCAAGGAGAAAGTCAACAACCCAAAGCCGTGCTCTTTTTAATCAAGGAGCAAGTCAAAAGCCCTCAGGTCATTGATGGGAAACGAACGCAGGGGTCAAAAGGACTTTTCTCTCACCTGCTCGATGTACTCTCCAAGCGCCTCCCGGTAGTCCTTCTGCCTGTGCAGCACAATCTCGTGCTTGAGGACGGTGGCACGTGCCTTGGCCCGGACGTAGTCTAGGTTGCCCTCGCGATTCTTGGCTGCCCGCTCCTGAGACTGCACGAAGGCACGTGGCGGTGTCAATGCTTTCAAATGCAACAGTCAGATCGTGCTAGATGGTACATTAAAGTTGGTGAGCAGCATCAGTCTTTGGCGTCTTTTGAATCGTGGATTGTGATCTTTTGAGTTGCATGCTGCTGGAGATTACGTCCATATTGTTGGACCTGGCAAATTTTTGATAGCTTCTTTGTCGACAAGAGCTGCGATGTGAAAGGCCACCGCCACGCTTTGGGTGGTAAGTCGCTGTTTGAAAGAAAGATGAGATTGGGCATACAAAAGCTGTTTCTTGCCTGCACCCTGTGCATGTCAGCTCCGGCAGGAGTCACAACAGACTCTAAGGCCACATTCAAACTCGTGGGGGGCAGTTCATCCGACAACGAACTAAAAAGCTTCTCTCTCTCACGAAGGGCTTCCATCTAAACAGGAGATGCTCATAATTTGAAAGCTCCACTAGCCAGTAGAAGAGGTGCAAGAGAGTGGAGGCAAGGATGGCATACCATACTTTCCATAGACACAAGGAAAGCCAAAGATCCAGCACAGAAGCTGCTCAAGTGGTTACCAAAATGCAAGCAAAGCCAGTAAATTGCTTCGAATATGACTCGTCTATGACAACTATGATCGAAGAGTTGCGTGCCAATACTGGACTGCTTCCCTCCGTCGTTTTCTTTTTGCAATCCTCAGATCCAGCAACTGGTAATATGTCACATTGCACTGTGTGTCTTACATACTTCCTTCTGTGGTTGTTAAATCGTGAGAGTAAATGATGAGCTTTTTCCACTTCTGACACATTCAAAGGTACATCAAAGCTCACACTAGATGCATTCAACATGTCTACTTTGTGCTTGACTGGGATATTTGTCTACAAAAGCAAACCTTGAGGACAGCTCCATGGCCTGCTTTCCAGACACAATTACTCGGGCAATCCTTATGAACTCACTCTTGCTGCTCCACACTTGAAATGCTGTGAAGTTACACTATAGTGCATATCTGCATCCCTCGTCATAGGGGCTCAAGTGCAGCGCTACATCTCTAGCCCTGCCTTCCTACATGACTTTTACCAAGTAAAAACAATTCAGCAAGTAGCAAACCTTGTTCAGCATAGGCTATAGGAAGTAAGTCACACAAAGCTGCTGTCCGACTGATGTCGGAACCTGTCTTCTAAACATGCAATGGTTTAGCACAGAGGGCTCCCTCAACCCCCTCTTGGAGGTATGGACGACTGTGCTGCCAAAGTATCATTGAACAAAGGGTGTCAATGTAAGGCGCACACATAGTCCAGAGGCTTTTCTTCATGTGCGTCAAAAGTGCAAAATAACCTTGCCAGAGAACAAAGCCATGGAAAAACACGATTCTGCGCATCAGGTGTTTCTGTAATATGGACTTCGCAGACGTTTCTGAAATAAGATTTGGGGCCAATTACCATCCTTCAGCAAAAATAGGTGGAACAACCTAGACGCTCAAGGTAATGCAGCCCTCACCTGGATGATACTTTCCATGATTGCGCTCTTTTTGGTTTGCTGCCTCAATATTACCCGCTTTCCCCTGACAGTTGCCATGATTGCCCTTGCCTCAATGGAAGCCATGCTGAGGATCTTCCTCTGGGCTCCCCTGGCCATCCGCTCCTCTGATTTCTCCATAAGCATCTTCAACCTGCCCTCCCGTGTATGTTGGACCTTTGCAAACCTGGCAGCTGCCACCTCAGCTTTAGCCTTCCACGCCCCCTCTCTCCTTCCCTTGGCAGCCTCCAGTTTTGCCTCCAAGGCCAACTTGGCATCGCTCCTCTGTTGTCGCAGCCTAGCAACAATCTCAACATGGTTCCTGATGGTCTTCTGCGCCTTCTTCTTGACAGCTGCTAGCTCTAGGTCCCTCCTCTGACTAGCCACTGAAAGCCTGAGTTCAGTGGTTGCAGCTATCTGCTGGCTCTTCTCCTGCATCAAGGCTCGGACTGTGGTGCCTCGCCTAGCTGCAAACTGTGCTGATGCAATTCTGGTGCATAAAACTGCTTGGTGCCTGTCCCGGCCAGATGCTAGCCGCCGTGTAACATCCTCCAAAACTGGAGATGCTAATGAGGTTTTCTGAAGCCTTTCTGCCACCACCTGTGGGGCTTGTCCACCTGGCGGACCACAAAATATGGACACATCTATCTCCAAGACGTCCGTGGCCATGCCTCTTCTGAAAGCTTGAGCTTAGACTCCGGGCTTGGGTGCCTACACCCAGCTAGACAACAAGCACGCTCTACAGTGAGGTCAGCTTCTACAAATGCACGCGTCAGCGTCACTTTTTGAGGCAGGAACAAACTTCATGACATTGACATCCGTGTGCTACGCTTTTCGTCGACCATATTCTCCTGCCAAAACGAGCTCAGGACTTCACTTCAATTGCACCAAGGAAGAAGCTCACAGCGCATCCCCAACAATACTGATAGAGCCGTGGCAGCTATGTAGGTGCCTTCTCCTTTTTTGAAGTTCCAAGTCCTTGAGGAGTCTACGAAACATGTGGAAGTGTCAATCACAACGACGCCATGCTGCCACTGCCAACCAGGCTCGAGCCTCAGCTGGAGCTTGGCAGAGACTTTGTCAGGTCTCATAGCACTTGCAAACTTGACGGTCTATCCAGGTCTATCCTACCGACCTCTTCTTGACCAACGTGTTTTGCAGTCGGACCTGAGAAGAGCGTTCGATGCATGCACTAGAGTGACGGTACAGAGTGCTTCCCTGGCCGGGTGCGAATTCGTGTAGGTACGGTATGTAGGTAGGTACGGTATGTCTTGGCTTCACAGCTTGTAAGTACGGTACCCTGTACTGCACACTGCCCCGAGTGGTTCTACCCAGTAGGGATCTCTGATTCTCCAATCCAGGCTGAAATGCTGCTTCAACCGTCAGCTTTCTGTCGTTAGATGGTTGTTGAAATGTTCAATCTGACGGTCAATAAGAGTGGGCTTCCATTGTCGTTGATCCAACATCCAATCAAGGGCTTGACTAGTTTCCAAAGAGGGAAGCAGTTGGAATCTTCCCGTGCTTCTCCAACCGTAGGATAAGATTTTCATCTTGGGCTTTGGTGTTACATATAGTCAAGATCTGCCCCAGCTTTCACGCCCTTTCGCTCTGTTAGCACAGTGGTTAGTGCGTGTGTTTTGTAAACACAAGGTCGTCGGTTCAAATCCGACACGGAGCTCAGACCTGCACGGTGGAGCCTCATTCTCGCACACATTTTGACGGCGTGACTTCGAATCATTTTCGAGAAGAGCTGAGAAGCCTTATCCGGGCGGTCACATACGAACAAGTTTCAAATGCACCAGCCACCAGGGGTGCCCAAGCCCCGACGCAATACCGTACCCCCGTGACGCTTGCGCAAATTTTTGCCCAATAATTATTTTCATCCACTTTGCGAATTGGGCACACGATTTCGACAATTTCGCGACAATTTCCCAATATTTGGAGATTTGGGCAAAAGTTCAAATTTCGTCATTTCTGCTGCTTTGAAGGAGGAAAAGTGGCAAAAAACGCTTGTAAAAGGAGAAAAGTAATTTTCCAAGATTTTGAAAAAATTGGGCAAATCTTGACCAAGAATTTCAAATTTTTGGGCAGATCCAGAAATGTTTATTTTCTGCCCAAGCGTCATGGGGGTACGGTATATTAGTCGAAATTAGATACATCTAGCTAGGAGGATGAGTAGGATGGGAACTCAGTGCATGATCTACGTTTTTCTTAAAATATGACCAATTCATTTCCTCTGGGGTTAGGGTCCATGTAGCCATTTGGGCGCTATATAAGGCAACTTTCAATTGATGTATGATGGGCTCTTGTCATTTCTGACAACACCGGTTTGACCATCTTCTTCGAGTCGAGACTGGTCGGTTCGGTAGCTTCGTCTAGTCGTTTTGCAGGGGGCTAGTGACTGTTGGTACATCATGTATAAGAGGTCTGATTGGTTATCTATAGGCCGGATGTGTTAAAAGCGGCCCGTGACTCTGAACTTCTGAAATCATCTAGATCCAAAGTGGTCATCCGGGCACCGGCCACCAGCCCCCCCGACTCTCGCTACGGAGCTCCGGGAACCAGCCATCAACGCCGGGGCCCACCAAGGTAAGTTCAGAAAACTGGAGGTCCGGACGCCACTGCACAGATGTTTCGAGGCAATGCGTTGACCGAGCTGAACTTCCCGGCGACCCAACTTAGTACCCAACAATTTTCGGATCGCCGAAGGTGAAAGCTTCCTCATTCACCACAATTCAGGCTGCGGCATTTTGTCCCGCGACGCCCGATGGTCCGTCGGTCCCGGCTGTCGGTCCGACCAGCAGTGCAATCAATGGACGACCAGCCACTTGAAGCAGCTTTCCAAATTGCCACGTGCAGAAATTCTTGACACTACATTCACGGTACCCTTGTCAAAAAGCGCGGCTTAACTCGGTAGTTTTTGAGGTCCCGAACTTCTCGCTGAAGCTAGGTGCGACCGTCCGATGAGCGCCACGTTAGGGTACCGTGTCAGACTTACTGAGTACACTGCCGCAGTACTTCTGCGGTCGCGGCTGTACGCGAAAAAGATGACGTTATCAAAAGTAACCGTCGGCCGAGTTAGCCCAGCTGCCGGGCTAGCCTAGGCTCACCGGGTCAGCTTGAACCGGGCGGTATTTTTGGCCCACGGCATGCCAAAAAAGCTCCCGGGTTCGCGCCGGACCGAGCTAGCCTGAGCCTTGTCTTGTGTGGTTAGAATGCTTACCTGAGCATTGGGTTCAATTGGCGCTCGGGTGATACTAGGGCATTAGCGATTATGAAGGTGTGGTCTAGCGCAAAATGTCGCCGCATGTTGCAGGCTACCGGGCACCCTGGTCACAAAGGGTGATTCAGCTAGTATGTACCGCAGACTGTCGAGGAGTACCGCGGTTCTAAAATTCGAAGACCGCGGTTATAACTATTTGCAGACCGCGGTTCTAAAATTGAGGCTATCGGACGGTCAATTCATCGATGAGCAGAGGTTTACGGTGGAGATTTAAGATTTCACCGTCGCGCGAGACTCCGGTACCTAGCCTAGAAGTAGGTAGGTGGTATCTAGGCTAAGCTTCAAGTCTACCGGTAGTACCGTAGTAGGTAAACAGGTTGTACCTAGGCTAGGCTCTTCAGGTACCAAGTTTGGGACTGCCGGGCACTTCAGTAGGCTGTGCTGCGGTTATTTTGAAGTAGGACAGTGCCCGGGGATTCGTCATACTAGCGGGACCGCCGGTCCAACCCCAGCCCACGTGGTATGTATACCACACCTCTCTCATTGGCTGATTCAACTCCGTACCTTTGACGTGGCACCGCTGGATGAAGAGCCCCGGTACTTGCGGCCCCGGGCAAACTGAACCGCGCTTTTTGACATATGTACCGTGAATGTAGTGAAATTCAGCTATCATGTGTCCATTAGGAACTTATCGACCAGTGCTTTGATCATTTGAGTGCTTAAGTTTGGAAAGGTTCCTTGGCAACTTGGCAATTAAACAATAAAAGTATAGATTAGTATATATTGGATGAAATGGACTCACCATGGAGACCTTAGACAACGCAAAAGGTTAAGGCTACTTTCCTCTCACGCTTCGTCTCTTGAGCGGCGCGGCACTCAGGCACCCCTCAGGCATTGCTTCGAGGTACCGTTATACCCCTGTTATACCGTGCTCCCACGTGCGTACGAAGATGAGAAGTAGTACGATATTCCTATGACACCCGGGATACTTCTAGTATACATCGTATACACCCCGTATACACGATACCATTCTGGCAATGAATAGCCGGGCAATAGCCAAATGGCGACCCAATGGCCACCGAATGTCCCAATGGCCAAACGGCCACCAGGCAAAGAGGCAACCGTGGCCCCAACTAGGGCGAGTACGAGAGTACTAAAGCTTACTAAGCCGCAGCCTGCAGGCTGTATGCCGCAGCTAGTAGCTCAGTGGTCCAGACTCCAGTGGCTCGAACGATCAGTCACCTTCACGGCCAACCTCACACACATACCGTCAGATGAGCATGAAGGGGTTCATCGGACGGTCGAGGATTCTCCATTTCAGTTGCAGCCTTCCGAATTTCGGTGATCGTCACGGTGCACTCCGAGGCCGCCGGCCAGGCTCGTCACGGTCACCGTCACGGTGTTGCCAGTTAAAGCAGTTTCAAACTATTCCCGCCAAAATCGACGGTTTGTTTGTTCCCTCACCTGAAGGGAAGGCGAAGCGACGGCGGTGACCAAATTTTCACCCCAGGGCTCCCCCGGCTGCTTTTCCTTTGCTGATGCAAGTCCGCCGCGGCTCGGGGACTCAAAAGCGGTTACAAGTCGAGTCAGCAACGCAATCACTATCGACGGCCATAAGGTGCCAAAGGATCTTGAGCGAGGGGCTTTAGCGGTAGGATGTCTCTTGATCACGCGCGCAAATCCCTGAAAAATCGGATCATGCATTTTGGAAAGCTGGTTCCTTAATCACGTGTCAGGATTCGATGTAGCGAGCTCAAGACTTGCTTGCGTTACGCTCCGACACGTCAAAATTTAACTTCGGACTTAAATTCATTGCGGTCGACGCTTGGGCATGCGGGCGCTCCGCTTCGACGTAACGGTGACATGCTCGGGCTTATATCGTCGGCTTTAGACCAGTCCGACGCGGCATTGCATGGAACACATGGGGGACACTTGGACACTTTCCGGGGCCAACTCAGCTCGCCTTTCGTGCGTGCGCCGTGCAGGCGCTCGTATCGCACATGCGAAGGCCGCAATATTCGGAACGAGGAGGCGCTGGCACGGGCGTGGGCGGTTTCAAATTCCGATTTCCTGGCTGAAATTGCTGCCCGGGGAATCGTCACACGCCCTGCACGTACCGGGTTCGTATCCCCCTACTCCCGGTGACGAACGTGCAAGTTCAAATGCGCTGACTTTTGAAAAGTCAGCAGCTCCGACTCCGAGTCAGCTTCGAGAAGGAAAGGGGAGCGATCGCTTCTTTGTGCAGATTGATTCAAGCATTCCCTTCCTTGCTTCTGGCAAGCAGGCGTTTTCAGGGGCGCTAGGAGCTCTGCTTTCGCAGCCGTTGTGGCGTTGTTTGCGTCTTCTGTGAGGAACGCAAGTGCGATTTGAGCTGAGCAGGTAGCATGTACTGTAGGCAGGCGGTAATTCTGCGAGCGAGGCCAGGTTTTGCCTAGGGAGCCCGTTTGGCACATGGCTGCGAGTGACTTCTTACCAGAGGACAGTGATCGCAGCTCAGACACCACTGATTTGGGGCAGATGGGTACGGAATTTGTTTATCAAGAAGAGTTAATGTCTGGGACTGAGGAAGAGTTCAAGAAAATGGAGGATGCAAAGAAGTTGAAGAGGGAGGCGGCACATCGCAGGAAAGCAGAGGCGAGGCGCGAGAAGGAGCGCATGGAAGAGCTTGAGAAGCAGCAGAGAGAGGTGAGGAGGGCCCCTGGGATTGCCCACTCCGCTCTTGTATGATAGCTGCAAAATCTGTTGATATGGTCTGGGGCATAGGTCTTCTGTTCCTGTGTCATCACTTTTTTGATAATGAATGATTGTCCTTTTCTTAAGGATGGTGGTTTTGACTGATTTGTGAGCATGCTGTGCTTCATGTCAGCCCATTCAGTGCAAATTGTGCATGATGGCTGCGAGGTCCTGATCTTGCTTGGAAGCACTAGTAGTACCTCTGTTTCATCTCCAACAAGCGCTGTTCGGTAATCTTCACATACGTGCTTTCAGTGCGCATGCGATCATCTTTTGCAGCTCGAACTATTAGCTACTTTGTAACCCTCAGTACTGGGTGACCCCCCCACCCCCTTCATCATCATTGCATTCATCTCCTGTACAAAAGTTTGTCCTCGCATCTTTCTGGGTTGTTGGTTAGCGGTTTCCTGCATCTGTCAAGCTCCCCACTGTTGTCTGATGAGTGATGTGCAAATGAATATACATCTTTTTCTGGTCTCAGATTTTTTTCTGCTGCATGTGGGGGCAGCAATCATGCACATTACATGAGGCAAACACGTGGAAATGGTGGCTTGTAAGCTTTGATCAACACGATGTAGACGACCGATTTGGTGTCAACAATTGGCCTTGTGACATCGTTCATTCATGCAGCCCGCTTTTTATGATCGTAGTGATCTGTACCTCAACTGAGATTTTGGTGGAAGTGGGACTGTAGTCAGTACACAATTGCCATCAGTTGAGAGGTTAGATGCCTGATCTGCTTTGACAAGGTTCTAGCCAGCAGTCAGAAGTTGCAACACCATGCAGATCAAGTTCAGTGCTTGTTTAATGTATGATGGTGGGTGTGCGAAGAAGCAAGGGTGTTTTTCTGTGACACAAGGACAGAGTGGTATGCATGGTGTCTGTAAGTTGTTTCTTATGGCTGTTAAAGGTTACCCTTATCACGATAGGGGGTGCTCCAAACTATGACAGCTCTTCAAACTTCAGAGTGTGTGCATAGATCTCAATGATCTTTGAAGAGGTTGTTCTGATTCTTTGTAGTTGATCTTTGCTGGGACCGCGTACCAGGTGGACGCTTCTGAGTTGGAAGTCATGTTTACTATGGTGATGGTGTCCCCTTTCTTGCCAGTTTCTGCTGCCTTGAGCTTCCTGTCGCCGTCATTCGAGTACCAAGTCATTGGAGCTCGTCAATTTGGCTCTCCTCAGCGTTGTGTGTTGTGTTAGCTTAGGGGATTGGTATTTGTTTGGAGCTCTGTGGCACAGCACAGTCCTGAACTTTTGATCTTCATGGTGGCAAGGCTTTTGTTTGCTCCATCCAAGGAAAGTCACACCCATTATCATCCTACCAATTTGGATTGCTTGGTACAGGTGCTCAGCTATGACTCTGTTTCTCCGTTTGGGTTATACTGGAGTTGGATGGTTTGCAAGCGAGTGGCATGCAGAGTGTCCTTGTTTTTACTTGCCGATCAATTGGTCCAACCAGGCTCAGATATGTTCTGGGCTCTGTGGCATGAGCATGTGAGTAGAGAAAATCAGAAGTGGAGACCCAAGTTAGCCGTCTGCTGTCGCCTTGGTTGCAATTGGTTCTATTGCTGATGCCGGGTCTCACATTGATTTTTTGGTTTGATATGATTGTGAATTGAAGATCTGAGCCTTGTCTGGGTCGATATGATTATGTGGTTTGAAGCTTTGAGCCTTGTTTGGGTCTGCAGCACGTGCGATGTGTGTGGTGCAATCATGCAGGAAAAACGGAAAAGCTTTTTAAGATGCATAGCAGTGTTCAAGATCTTGTGATTGTAGAAGTGCCAGGTTCGTTGAGACATGTCTTTCTGGTTTCTGTGTTCTTGACGGGCGCCTTCATCCTTGTAGTTGGTGTAATCCTGCCTGGATTTTTCCTTTTTTCCAAAAACCTTGTATTTGTATTATGTTCAGACCTCATCATGCGGGCCAGTCATCCTATACTCACCCAGACCTGAACCGAATCGAAAACTTAATAATCCCCACGAGGGCCAGTAATTACAGACTCAGCCAAACTTGAAATGGTTTGGAAGTCTAAGTCCCACACAAGTCGCACCATTCCTTGCAGGAGATCTTAGCCCTGGTTGAACAGCAGCGCCTGAAGCGCATCGAGCAGCAACGCCAGGAGGAAGACCACGGCCGCCACCAGGAAGGTGCCGCGCAAGAGAAGCGCCGCTCAGACGCTCATCAAGCCGTTGAAGCCCACCGGAATTCAGAAGCCCAGCGGCGGTCCGAGAAGGAGAAGAAGGCTGCGGACGAGAAGAAGGCGCGGGGAGAGGCGGCGCAGAAAGCGCACGAGGCGAAGATGGCAGCGGAGGCGGCAAAGGCCAAGAGTCAGGCGGCGCAGGAAGCCCAGGCGCAGGCGCAGGCGGCCGCACAGGTGGGGACGCGCGCTTCTTAAGTCAAGGGTTTGTTTGCGAGGTTTGCAGGAGTGGGAAAGAATGAGGTTTGTTCAGGGCAAGAGTTTGTTCAGAGCCTGTGTGCTCACGCAACCGTTTCCGTTTTTGTTTTAACTTCAGTTTCGCACCCCTCAATCTCGTCCGTTCAGTCAGTTTTGCCCGCTTCTTTTTCTTTCTCATGATATACCTTCTGGATGCAACTTCTTGTAGTTGGTGGTTCATACTGAAGATCAGCTTCATTTAGTTGTATCGCATGTGTCGTTCGGTACGAACTCCGCTTATCCAACGTCAATCTTTTACGCTTTATCTTGTGCAAGCGACATTTCTCAGGTTGAGCCCGAGAAGCAGCAGCCCTACCCTTTCTCATGCAGCGACGTTTCTCTGAAAAGTGTGTTTCTATTGTATCAGTGGGAAGTTTCATGGTTGTAGACAATCTTGAAAGAGGAAAGCAATTAAGCTGAACTTTTTCTTCCCAGGCGCAGCTCCAGAAGCAGCAGCATCAGATCCGCGCCGCCATGGAGAAGAAGCGCCAGTTGGCTCGGGGCCCCCGTAGCGGTGTCGTGAGCGTCCCGCTGACGTCAGGGGTCTCGTCGGTGACGACATCGGAGGGGGTGGTGCTGCCCATCGAATCAGAGAACACGGAAGTGGTGCTGCAATGGCCCGTCGAAGTTCACAAGGTAAGCGCTGCCCCTGGGAGAAATTGTTGTTCTACAAGATATTGGTATTCGGCTCCGTTCGCTCTCAAAAGAAGAGTACTTCCCGCTTCTTGCTGCTTTGAAGAGGGTTTTTCCGACAGCCTTACATGATAGCTTGCACATTTCATTCTTGATACTGCAGTCTCGTGCTGGCTGTTCGGAACTTTTGAAAGCTCGACCCAGAAGACTGTTTTGGCAGATGCAAGCTGGCACACTAAATCTTGGACAAGCGCAAACGGGTCTGAAAAATCTTCTTTCCTCTATTCTTCTTCAGGTGGCTGAGTGCGAGTATCAGGCGGGGGGTACGATGTGCACCATGAGAGTGACCCTCCTGGCCGCCGGATTTGTCATTGGGGCCCGAGGCGCGTCGGCCCGCCAGATTGGTCAGCAGACGGGGGCGGTGCTTCAGTCGTGGACGGACGAAGACAAGGGTGACGTGGGGCCGTGCCGGGTGTTCCGTATCCAGGGAAAGCGGTCGCAGGTGAGCGTTCTTTGAGAACGCTTTTGGTCGGTTCCGGGATCGTCTGGTTGGATTGAGGCAGGGCGATCATTGTGATTCTCGTTTTCTGTTATCGTCTGTTGTGGGCTACTGTTGTTGACGTCATGTGTCCATGCGTACAGCAACTGCTAATTTACGAAGCGTGGTGGATTCTCTTGTCGATCTATGTCACTTGGGACCCTTATGTGACGTCCACGAAACCGCTTCAAAGCAGGCTTTGGGCAACGGTCTCCACACTGTCAAGCGCTGCTTAGCCGAGCTTTTCAGATCAGTTTTCCTTCTTCTTGTTTGTCAATCTCAGCTTCTCGCCTGAATTTAACCTCTTACAATATTTTTCCTGATTCTTTCACTCCTAACCCCTCACTTGACCCCCACCCCTCCGCAGGTGCAAGCCACTGTCGCGATGATCGAGCAGGCCGTCGACAAATACCGCGAGCTGTGCGAGAGCAAGCGGCGGGGGGAGTTCGTCACGCGCGAGCACGTCATCGGGGGGGTCCAATTCCACTACCAGCCACCCCCCGCCGTGCCATGGTCCCCGTTCTCGTCGACAAGATCACTGGCGAAACCACGGAAGTTACCCTTGGCGCCGAAGACGGGAAAGTGAACTCGCACGTCGTCACTTCTCGAGCTTCGACCACCCCCGCGCAACAGCAGCAGGGGGTGCCGAAGAGCACTCTCCCGCTCCCCCCCTCGCACGTGAACGGCGCGCTGTTCTCGCAGATCCTGCAGCAGCGCCGGGGCGGTGATGGGCAGGCGGCGCGCAACATCTCCTCCCCCCCCCAGGCCGCCTGGCAAAGTCCCCCCCCCTCGGTGACGGCCGCAGGGGCGGCGGTGGATCGGTTTCTTCTGGAGGGGGGTTCGCTCGCAGCACTGGAACAAGCAATGCAACAACAGTCGCTCGCGGAACGGCTTTACCCGGGGGGTGGTGCGCAGTACGGGCAGATTCCTTCCGGCGGCGGAATGGAGGCGGAACGGATGACGATGGCGGAGCGACTCAAGCAGGCCGAGCGCCTAAGGCAAGTGGAGCGGTTCGCGGAGCGACTGCAGGCGATGGAACGGTTGCAAGCGGTCGAGCGACTTCAAGCGGCGGAACGGATGCAGGCAGCGGAACGGATGCACCACCAGCAACTAGACGCGGACCGAATCCATCTCGACCCGCGGGGGGCGGGTCCTTACGGATACGGGGAAGTTTTGTACGCGGATCGTGGGCCCCGTCCCAGGGGGGATGACCCGTGGGCGAACGCACCCCCCCAAAACGCGGCGTGGGGTTCGGGGGGGTTGTATTCCATGTTCCCAGAGACCAAACCTGGCCCCCCAAGCAGCCAGCGCAGCTTCAACACCAGCCCGTTCGGTTCCCCACCCTTCGGATCCTCCCCCAGCAGTTTTGGCGGCTCCCCCCCCCTCCAGCCGCTGGGGACTTCGGCCCCCCGCCCCATGCAGGCGGCGAGCGGGGGGTATTCCAGCCGGTTCAGCTTCGCCAACGGACAGGGGTCGAGCCCCAACGGCAGTTTTGACAGCTTTGGCACGCAACCCCCCGAGACGGACGCGGACGACGCGCAGCTGTGCATTGTGTGCATCGAGAGACCCGTCAACGCATGCTTACTGGTGAGGACACGTGGCACGCGCTGATGGTTTAAGCACTCTTGTTACAGCTTTGTTTTGGTTTTGAGTTTTCCGAATAGAAACGTTTCAGTTGGCGACTTGCTGAGTCCCTTACAATGCATTTGTGGGTCTGGCTCCTTTCACTTCCTCCGGAAAGAACTTGGATACCGCTCGAAGAAGGCGCTATTCAGTGTTCGAAACGAAGCAATTGCTGAAGAACCTGGCGCACAAAGACAAGTGCCGGCCTTCTGTACTTCCTAGATGGTAGTCTGTCGTGCAAGCGGTGTTGCGATTTCCGTTTCAGATCTGACGCTGACTTCTTTGTTTCATCTGCGCAGACTTGCGGCCACAGTTCGTTTTGCCAGCCGTGCGTGGAGAACCTGCTCAACTGCCCCCTGTGCCACGAAGAGATCGTGACCGTCCAACCGATTCCCCCTCGCGCTTCCCCCAAGTCGAGCGCCATGCACGGGTTGCACTCTGCCGCCGGGCCGGGTCCGGGGGTGGATTCCCTGTTCAACTGGTCGCTCAATTGACCCCCCGGAACGAGATGGAAGCGCGCCCCTTACTGAGCGGAGAGAGATCACCCCAGCGAATCCTCGGTTGATGCGAACTAGGCATGAGAGGAGATGCGAGGGCCCGTCCAAAAGTTTTCGGAGCCCGAAGGGCGGCCGGAAACGCGTCCGAAGGGCGTCGCGTCGAAAGGCGTCCAAAAGGTGCCCGGAGGGCGGGTTTTGTAGCGTAGCGAATGTGAGTGGTTAAGTGCCATTTCGGAGACTGGGCTCTGTGGTCCGGCTTAGACACGTTGGGAGAATGTTAGCATAGGCTGCGGGCTGCGGCTGGCTTTGCCTTACCTAGGTTTGGGAGAGACTCCCCAGTAGGCTCTTTGCGGGATCGATTAAGGTGACGACACGTGTATAGGGCTCGCCGCCACTGTACAGATTGCGGTTCTTGGTCGAGCGGTGGTGAACACATCAAGAGGGGGAACAGCATCGTTGGCGCCACGTTTCATAGTCGAACAAGTGTATGCAGTTGCGCGGTGGAGTCGAGCTTCATTCTTTCTCGGGCCCGTTTAGGCTTGGGGGTATAATAGTAAGAGTCGTGGGCAGGACATACTCGGCGACTCAGATGTGGTTGGAATAAGTACACACGCTCTGGCATATGAAGCGCAGACGCGAATATTGCTTTCATATATAGACAGACACTTACAGATTGGCAAAAGGAATACGAATGTCGCTGGGCACCTAACGTTGGACATATGCAGTCACCCTGACTTCCGCCCTCGATGTTCTCCTGTATTGAGTTGAGTTGCTTCGTTTGAAAACTTGCCACCTTTTCTTTTACATCTTATTGTGCAGACCATCGCGCTCTTATATTGTGACAGGAATTGCAGCGTGTTTGTTGCGCTGACCATTTGGACGAATGTTGCCGCACGCATCATGCGGACGCTCAATGCATGCAGTGTGGCATAATGCCCGGTGCCTTATATGTACCATGTTGGCAGGCGCTATACAGCAATATCCGTTGGGGCCGGCCCGCCGGCCCATTGACACGTCGCTATCGATCTGCACGCGGCACCGTCGGATGAACTAAGTTGTCATCTGGCAGGGCCCCCGGGCCCGATATCGGTGTCGACTATAGTGCAGGACCTTAAACGATTATTTTGGGGGCCGATCTCACTGTGCGGGGCAGCATCTAGCTGCGTAGCTGCCAATCGCTCGTGCGGCCGGGCCGGCCTGCATTTGATCTACAGGCCAGGTATAAATGCTGGAAGACCGCGTGCACACGCCACGCTCGCTGCCGCGCATATATTGCCGGTGAGCGGTAATTCACATACATAAGTTCAAAGCTTTATTATCTGCACGTGAAGTACTCAGTCCTTGTTGGCAAAATTTGTCTTGGTGACTCGAAAAACTCGATCTGTCATAGGTAAACCGATGGGTTAAGTTAAGGATCGGCCCGACGTGACGGTGCACGCATGCAGCACGCAATAATGGACGACGGACGGCTTTGAAGCCACCGCATGTCTGTCGGACACCTCGATCGATGCCCCTTCTGAGCATTTGATCAAGAGCTCATTGGAATCAATGGTCTGAGCTCAGAAGCCCTCAGTTTGTCTCCTCGCAGTATGCAGAATGTAGGGAGAGGCTTCCCGTTGCCGCCAGTAAGCTCCTGGGCAAGCGCGTTACAAGGGCCTTCTCTGCGTTCCGTTGACGAGACTGGTAGGAATGGAAAAATAATGACTGGATCAAAGGAGCTGAATGAGTGCTATGCCTTAGCAAGGAAGCTTCTAACTGAAGTCCTTCTTCTGGGGACCTGGCACCACAGCCACCACAGCCTTGAGATTCTTTGCCCCCTTGTCGCGTTCAGGCCTGGCTTTGATTGCTTCGAGTTTAGCGGCATGAAGGTGACACACGTGACGTCTCGATCAGTCTGACAACTTTCTTCCTTTATTCGTTTCTGTAGAATCAAAAGTGCGCCAACGAATTGGTGCAGGTTCGAACATTGTTAAGACTCCTTGATTGCTGTTGAGACAGATACAAGCTTTTCCTTTGTAAAGCTTATAAAGCCTTGAAGCTCCTTAAGCATGGAAGGTATACTGCAAGACGGTAGGTTTCTTCTCCACTGGCAGGTAGTAACGTGTCGTCTCTTCGCACAAATAATTCTTTCTTCGGACTTACTACTCAAGTGCACAAAGTTGGGCGTTAAGTCGCACGAAGTTGGGCATTACGTCGCAATCATTGAATCTCTGCAATAAGCGAGACGCTGGCATATTTGAAAACCCTCGATGCAGACCTCGGATATTGGGCCGCTTGCCTAACAACCAACGATCCATACGATCATACTATGCGCAGAAAATCCCTCTTTTTCTTTTGGCGACCAGTCGAATCTTTCTTTATTGCTTTCCCGGGCCAGCTTTGACACAGCATGACCTCTTTGAGGGCCTCATATTCTGCACAGATTCTGCAGCAATCACGCATCCATCAGATCTAAGCACTCAAATTGAACTCAGATATGATGGAGTCCCTATTATGCCAGTCACTATCAAGATTTGAACTGCTGCGCCTCAACTCCCGTGCCGAAAAATTGCTGCAGGTTAAGTTGGGCACGCGGCAGACGTTGGCGTCCATTTTTGTCTTCATTTTGTGCCAGCTTGTCGGGAAGCTTTGCACAAAGTGACTCAGCAAGAGCCGCGAGTCAGCACATGGCGTGCTCCTAGCCGCCATGAATTTTGCAGCTGCATCCCAGATCTTGGATGTCCACATAGCTATGATATAGTATAGTTTCCTATCCAAGGAATGGTTGAGGTTGTGTTCGTCATCCTTATCGACTGTGCCCTTGATCAAGAGATAACAGGGTACTACTAGAATATCTGACTGCATTGCCGGTCAGACTGGCAGGGGCACAACAACGATAAATGCCGACCAAAATGCCAGTAAACCTCAGCATTTCTTGACCTTCCGGTAAGAGCGGTAAGGGCGTCTGCGTTTTGTACCATGAATCTAGATATCTCGCAGAAGTTGTTGGTTCTAAGGCTACGACCTTCCCTGACCTTAAATCAATACTAGTAGCTGTAGAGCCCCTCATGTAGAGTCAAAGGTCACGCCATATGCGATTTCTGCTCTACGATTATACTTTTTCATTCTTCCATCTCTACAGCCAGTAATCATTTCTCTATCAAGGGCCCCGGCGTGATGTGACCAACCAGCGCCTGCGGCTGCAACCAGACGAACCTTTTCGCTTCTGGACAATCGTGTGAAGCTAAGAACACCTGCAATCAAACTTGTCCAAATATGAAAGAAATGATGTATGGTATGAGACGTAGTTGTGGGACCGTCGCTTAGGAGTTAAGAAGCGCTCAATGCTTTTATCGCCTAGGCAGCTATGCCACAGCATTTGAGCATTGCATCGTACTGTGTACGACTTTGATGACCTCCTCAGATCCTCAAAGCCACTGAACTGTGGTGGACGGTCGAGAGGGATCGGAACGGATGCCATCTGGCTCTAGTGCATCTGACTGACTGCAGGAATCAAAGTTAAATAAGGCCTTGAATACCTACATCCCTACATTTTTTCGGCACTGACTGGCCGCCCAGGCTCTGCATTGTGCCCAAACGTCTGCAAGGCTTAAGAACTCAGTAGACTTCGGCTGAACGTCGTGCTCTCACTGCCCCACGATCTGGGTCTGAGCAATCTCGAAACCGTCGATAAAAGCTAGATTTAAGCGTCGACGGCCGCGCCAAATTCCGAGCCTTTCACACGAACCTCCGGCAATTAACAAACCAAGAGCTCGAGTCAGAAGCTAGTGTGCGGCCGCGGGTACTAAACTCAAGGTTCACTGCGGCAGGGATCATATATACTCGAAAGCATAAGCTGGTTGAGAACGTTGCCACATTGCAGTTGCACAGCGCATTAGCAAATCCAAGCTTGCAGGGTCGCCTCCAGGTATTGAAGGCAGAAGGCTCATCCTTCCTTCGTGTGGCTGATCGTACTGCAGGATTCCCCTCATATTTTGGCTGGCTGGGCCTCCTGAGGAAGTTGCTACAAAATGGTAGCTTAAAGGCGGCTGCTGAAAGGTCTTGCCGCGCCAGCAACCCTGATGCTGCTGTTTCCCTCCGCAAGCCCGCGGATAGCAAGCCCGTTGATACGTCAGGATCAACCATTTCTCTCCTGGAGGCTGGTTCGCCTTGACTGGGGTGACTTTAGGTCGCTTTTGAAGTTCCCTTTGGCTTGGAGGTCAACGCTTCTATGAGCTGAGCTGTTGAAACCCAACCTCAGCGAAGTCTGCAGCCATGGTTCCCTTGTCTCCTCTAGCAAGAGAGGTTCTTCACACGAGAATGCTGCTGCAAGCAGACTGCAGTCCTGGTCCGAGAGCTACTGCTAGACTGAGGAGCTCACGCAGACACAGAGTTGCAGCATTGAGCTCTAGCTCGGAAACGGAAGCTATATCAGCACAGCATTCGTGCAGCTTTCCTCATTCCACATTTTCCCGAGAGAGTAGAACAAGGATCATTTGGAGCCGAGCAAGGAAGATAGGGGTCAGCATTGCAGCTTGTGCGATCCATCTCCTCCAACCAACGCCGGAAAGGCAAAGAACACTTCGCAAGCCGTTTCAAAGCACGCATTTCAAGCTTCACCTTCCATTCTTTCTGTCTCATCATCAGCTGCATGCAAGATCCAGCTACAAGCTCTCCAAGCTCCTCCCTTTTGCCGGTCTTATTGTCCAGCAGTGTGATCTGAAGAAGGAGCCAATTGCTCAGACCAGCTGGAGATCATACTGTGAGAAAGCGGCTGACTCCAGCCGCAATGGCTCAAGCCATGAGAATGTTCCTAGGTCTGTTGCTGGTGTCAGCTCTGACGAGCTCAGGTGCGTGAATTCGCTCTTCTCTTCCTTGTATCAGGACTAGTCTCCTTCCTTGTACGTTGCTCTGCTGTTCATATGTGATCCATGCTCTCAGTTCTGCAAGCTAGATCAGTACAATGAGCTGATCTTCTTAGGGTAAAAGCTCGAGGAGAGTGCACTGTTATCTCAACAGATAAGTTTTTGGTGGTCTGGAGCAGAGTCAGAAAAAGCTAGCTAATTAGAAATTAAAGGCTTCTCTCGGAGCTCGACGGGGTGTGCTAGTGTAATCAGAGCTCAAAACTTGCAAACGTGGCGCTCCTTCCGCTTGTGAAGGATCTTCTCTGACTCCTTCGTCGGGATCAGCTAGCGGGCGTGCGGAGTGCGTTTGCGACCAATCAAAGGAGGTTCACAGGCATCTTGAGCATGTTGCCTACTTCCGAAGTTATCGCGATAGACGCGCAACTCTAGGCTGCACTTGATTCACACCCCTTATAAAGACAGCTTCACACGCCTAGCTGAACTTCAAAAAATGCTTTCTGCAGTGAGTGCTCGGCGGATGCTCCTCGGCAGCTCAAGGCTCCACATGAAGCGGTCACTACTACAAGGTGAGTAAATACACAATCGACTTAGGACCTCCGCTCTTTTTGAACCAATTTGAGCTCTTTTCAAACGAACCTGTCAGGTGAGAAGTGTGGTTGGACTAGCAGATGGGGACTGGGTCTCTCTTAGAGGAGAGCATGAAGGGAGCCTCAGGAATTGCACAACGACTTTGCAAGATTGCGATGAGCGGAGCCTGCTTACTGATTCAGTATCTCTTCCTGAAATCAAGCATCAGGTGTAGCTCAGAAGGTGACGCAGAAAGGTCAGATCTGGTTATCTGTGACCCTGAACCTTGTCTCATTTTCTCCAGTCCCCGTAGAAACTGAGGAGCCGCCTCAGCCGTACGCTGCAACCACGTGGTGCGCCACCCTGGACTGCCTGACCACAGCCATGTCAGCGGCACAGGTGAGAGCTCTCTTGAGCTCAAAGCCCTTGAATATCATCTAGAAGCAAGCTTCCCCATCTCACGCTTGGGAATCCTTAATCAGGTTACTTCTTTTCTGTAGTTCTTTGGTTACCCCTGGCCTCCAGTTCCTCTTTCAAAAGCACGTTCGCTACATATAGCTCAAGATTCTGCTGATTATGATCATTAGTCGCCGAACCAGACCGGATCACGCACTGCCTCTGGATGAACCTCTTCTGTCAATACTCAGTCAATTTACCAATCTTTGCCTTGGTCAGATGCTTAGCAGGCATTTTCTTTATACAGTAACAACCCCTGCCACGTCATTTTGTCCTAAACCCTATTTTCTTCCCTCGCAGGGCACCAACAACAGCATGATCATCGTGACCGAGAACATCGACCTCAAGGGCCAGCCCCTCCCCGCCGTTGTGAACAAGCTCGAGGTGATGGGGAACTGCCCCGACGGCTGCTGCTGGATCGACGCTCATGGCATGAGCCAGATCTTCGTCGTGACTGGGGAGGGCCGATTCACATCGCACATGCTGGAGATGCGCCGTGGCAAGGCCACTGGCTGCGGAGGAGCCGTCTGGGTGGCGCAGGGCGGGCGCGCCGGCTTCTTCGGCACCAAGTTCAACAACAACACTGCAGTGGTGAGTCACGCAAGCACAGCGGTGTCGCAAAGTATTCAGTCGCAGCTCTACGCCTGCACAAATGTTGTTCAGATTGTTGGCCCCCGCGAAGAGCAGCTTTCGAAGCATGGGGGCAATCGCGCTGACAATCCTCTGTCTTGATCACGTTCGATCTGCACAAGTAGGGCAAAAGTCCCGTTTCTTCAATCTTGCTTGACAGCGTTCCAAGCGCTTGATACTCCTCATACAGATTCTAGACCTCGACCCAAAAGGTTGGTGAACAAAAACCGGCTTCAAACTGAATTCTTTCTGACCCTCTCGCAGACCGGTGCCGCTGTCTGCTTCGACAAGGGCGCCAAGGGCTTCTTCAAGCAGGGCAGCTTCAAGAACAACGTCGCGTCTGCGTCCGGCGGAGCCGTCTTCGAGGACCAGAACGTGTGCGTGACGTACATCGAGACCAACTTCGCGTCTAACCAGGCCAACAGCGGAGGCGCCGTCGCCGTCAGCAACGGCAGCTCTGCTGACGTGCAGTACAGCCTGTTCGCTACCGACTCCGCCAAGGTGAGCCGCTAGCTTTCTCTCTCCTTGAGCCAAATATTTTGGGAGATACTCAAGCTAGAATGAGGTATTTGAGGCAGTAATTGAGGTACATCTGAGATGCATTTGAAGATTGAAGGTGTTCGAAACAGACGCTAAGGTCCTCAAGCACGATGTCTCCAATAAGAGCGGAAGCAATCGCTCTCGTCGTCTTTGCCAGCATATGCTTCATTCTGGCTCGCGCAATGCAGTGCGGCGTTCTGATCAATTGAGTCACAGACACGGCAAACGTCCCCAACCTTTTCAAATTTATTCTTTCAATCAAGAAACTCACCTGCGCCGTTCTCTTTTGTCCACAGACCCAAGGAGGTGCCATTGACGCCGCCACCGGATCCGTTATCAGCGTGACCAACACCCAGTTCGCTGGCTGCACTGCTCCCGTAAGTCACTCCTACCAACTTCTCCCTCTTGAGAAAGTTCGCTTTTCTTGGAACGCTGCAATTGTCCAGCACGTCCTTTGTCCGAAAGGGCACAGCGGCTTTGCCGAATTGGTAGTAAACATTAGAAGCTAAAGACAGATGTCAGCGCCTGCTGGATATCTTTGTCTCTTTTGTCGTCAAAGAAGATTTTGATCGATTCAGCCTAAAGCTTGCTCAGGAACTGAAGATGGCCGCCTTACATAAAAAAGTAAAGTCAATCTCGAAAGCGATTTCCTTACACTCAAGACATAGGCATTCGTCCTTACTGCAGCTCTTAAATATTCTGAATTGAATCGCTTCATTTGTGCAGACTGGAGCGGATGCGAACCTGGCTGCCGGGGTTGCCAACTCCTTCATCAAGAACACATACTCCGCTCAGGGCTCTGTCGTTAACGGCAACGTCTGCGCGACGCCTGGGGGTGAGCTTTTCGAAAGTTGCCATGATTGGAGGAATCTGGTGAACGTCAGAGAGTCTGCGATGCTTTTTGCACCCGAAAAAGAGCAGCAGTTGACAAAAGTAGGTTGTAAGTTGGTAAATATAGACTTCAGGATTTTCTGAGTCAACCTATGTTTTCGACAGATTCCCTGATACCTGCTCTCTCTTCGGCTCCGCAGGCGCTTGCACCGTTCAGGCCCCCCTCTGCAACTGGATCCCTAAGGACTGCCAGATGCCGCTGACGCCCTTCCCGATCCCGTCGCCGTCTCCCTCTGCCTCGCCGATGCCCTCCCCTTCGGCCTCTCCCATCCCCTCCCCTTCGGCTTCACCGATACCCTCTCCTTCCAGCTCCCCTGTGCCCCCCTCACCGTCTCCTTCCAGCTCTCCCC